TATTGTAGAGCAGAAATTAGCAGATTACGATTAAATAGGCAGAAAGCTGAATATGTTACAAAATATCTGAAATGAGCAAAAAAGAAACTAAAATGAGCAGAAAAAAATCTGAAATAAGCAAAAAAAGATAGCTGAACAAGCCAAAAACAGCTGAAATTAGCACAACGAAGCTGAAAAAAGCTTAATTGGAATAGAAAAAATAAAAAATGATAAAATTTTAAAAAGTTTAAATTATTAGAAAGAAGCATAAAAGGCCAGTAAGCAAATAAAAAGCAGAAAAAGACTAAAATTAGCAGAAAAAAATCCTAAAAAGCAACAGAAAAAAGAAAATTGTTTAGTTTAGCAGAAAGAAGCTGAAAGAAGCAAAACCAGAACCAAAGCTGAAATGAGCAGTAAAGGTTTCAAACAGCTCAAAGGGTTTGAATAATGTGAAAAGAGATCTGCTTATTTTCCACGGGAAAAACATGGCCGACAAAGCTAAATAACTCAAAAAGTAAAAACTGCACAGGTACTAAAAGTCGCAGCAGGAATATCTTGAACGAGACGAATGTTTTGAGACGAGTTCCATGCTGAAAAACATGCGGCAGAAAACGGACCTCATGGTGAGAATGATTAAGAAAATAAAACATCTGCGAAGCCTTTGAGGACGACTTTTATTGTGGAAGACTCTTCATATTTCTGCTGCACATCAAACAGCTGGACGGAGCACAGGAACATCTAATCTGGCGGATGACATTGTGGCAGATTTAATATCACATCCCATAATCACACATTCTCCAAATTACTTTCAGAGGAAAACGCCACGAGATAATCTGCAGGTGATCAGCGAAGCCGCTTCATTAAGCAGCTGCTGCAGGCACGACAACAACAACTAGCTCTAAAAAAACCCACCACCGGCTGTTTTCCGTCAAATGTTGACTTTAAATCTTAAATCTGAATGTTTTCAAAGGAAAATTACAGATTTTCTTTACGCTCTTAAACTTCTTAAGCATAAAATTCCACACATAAAACACAAACACCAATACCTTGGTATTATTAGTCTTTTACAAACTCCCAGCTTTGACCTCATTTTGAGCCAAACGTGCAGAATTCGGATGTAAAACGCTCCCATTCATGATCAACTCTAAAAGAGATGAAGTGAAAACACCTACCCAGATCCAGCAGCCAGAACTTGCAGTTGTCGGCGTGGTCTGGCCCCGTTAAATCCATAGAAAAGAACGGACTTAAAGACACTAATGACTCCACACCACGGGCCATGGCGGCCAAACATTAAGCCTCTGGATGCAAGGTTTATTCTCTTAAAGCATCTCCAAGCCCCGCTCAAGATGCTGGGACCAGATTTGTAGCCCAGCTTAAGACATTCCAGGAACTGTGCGGTCCAGCGTGAGCAGAAAAGAGAAAGTCCAACGCAGCATCAAGAGTGTAGGATGTTTCCTCTCTTTCTTTGTATCTCCTTTCCTCCCACCCTCCCCTGCGAGTGGGCTGCTGTGAGGATATCGGACAAACCTCCACCGTGCCTCTCCTTGTTCCAAAGGGACGTCTGCTCATCTATTGGATTACCCTTTGTAGGAGCACCCACTCAGTTGGTGTGGGCGGGCGCATATTTTACAGGCATTTAGGATGCATACAAGTTGTGCCTGGAACAAATATAGTAGCGGTTATGAAACTGAAGCGAGCAGCGAACGGCTCTGCAGCGTTTCCAAGGAACTATCTGAGCTGGGTGCACAAAGACGCTCCTGTGGCGTCGCTCTGTGAACACTCACTCACCTGTGAGGGCGCACCTGATGACGCCTGCTCCGTCAATGAGGAAATGATTCAATTACAACTGAGATTGAAGTTAATTAATATGTAGATAAAATAATTAGTGAAATGCAGGTCTGCAGTTTTCAGCTGTGTATGGGAACCACTCTGGTGGATTTTCTTCTGTTTCTCCAGAAACAGGCCTCAAAGTGCTAATTATTCCTGCAGAATGTAAATAAAAACCTCCTGGACACGACTACCCACTGAGCTTTCACTCACAGTTAAAAGGCTGACAAAATATTAACGTTTCTCATCGTTCTTGTCCACCAGGCACTTTTGAGAAGCTATTTTTTTGGTACTTGTCCTGAGCTGAGAAGCTACTCAAATGTGCAGCCCAGGAATCCAAGGGAGAATCATCCCAGCTGGACCTGAAAGTGTAACAACAAACAGCTGGAAAAGTCAGCTTTTCCAGTAAATCATTCAGCTGATGCCAGAAGTGCGTGTTGATGGAGTGAGCTCAGGCCAGGCAGCCTCAGATTTAAATACAAAATGCAGAATTTCCTCACTCTGACTACAAGGAGGCGAACAGCTAAATATTTGTATGCTGGATCTCCATAGAAACAAGCAGCTCTCACCCACTCTTAGAGAATTTAAAGAAAAAAAGAAAAGAAAGGCACAAGAAGAAGCTTCTGCCAAGACGTGACAGCAGAGCAGAACTCTAAATACATCCTAAACTCTGGACATTATTTCGTTATTTAACTCGTTCGTTCTGGTGATGATGGTTTGAAATGTTATGAAACGCTCCCGTTTTCAGCAACAAACACATTAAATACAGAATACATTTTGTTGTGAATATAAAATTAACTCCAGACCAACCTCCTACATCTTAAATTTTGACGTGACAACACGTTTTTCAAAAGTACCCTTTCTTACAGCTAGATCAGGAGTATGCAACCTTTTTGATCGAAAGAACCATTTCTGTCACTTTGTTCACTAAATACGTGTCTGCAAAACCTGCTTATCAACTGGTGGCCCGTGGGCCATTTAGAGGTCGTTGGAGGAGGGCTTTTCTGGCCAGTTGGGGTGACTTAATAAAACTAAAAAGATATAATACATTTATTGATATTTTTACATTTTAAGGTAAAAGAAAAGCTCAAAAGTATGGATAGTTTGTTTATACCGAGTCTCTGCAGGTGCATGTGTCTTTTTTTCTGACTTAAAATTAAGTAATTACTTTGAAGTAATAAAACGTAAATTTAAAGTTTGCAAAAAAATTGAGCATTATGCTGGACAAGTTATTGATGCTTTATATTTTTTTTTGAGCGAAAGATCCCACTGTAAGCCTGGAGGATGGATAAATTAAGTACCACATTTTTTGGACTATACGGTGCACTGGATTATAAGGAGCAATGTCAATGAACGGGTCTGTTTTCATACATAAGGTGCACTGGATTATAAGGAGCAATGTCAATGAACGGGTCTGTTTTCATACATAAGGTGCACTGGATTATAAGGAGCATTAAGCGAAACAAAACGGTCAGTCAAACTTTATTCAACTCATTCACAATAACCACATAAAACCGGATTGGGGTCAGCAAGCACAACCAGAATTAATACATAAGGTGCACCTGATTATAATGCTCACTGTCGATTTTTGAGAAAATTAAAGGATTTTAAGTGCGCCTTGTAGTCCAAAAAATATGGTAGCTAAATGTAATCAACACATTTCGCCCTTTGATTAGTATCTTTCACAAATTTACAGAAAATTGACCAAAAAAAAAAAGAGGCAAATCTCACATTTTCTGATGTGGTATAAAGAAAAAACTAATTAATACAGTATCACGTTAGTTTTGGTCAAAGTTTCGAAGGGCCACAGATGAGAGACTAAAGAGCCGCATGTGGCCCCAGAGCCGCAGGTTGCAGACCCCTGGCCTAGATGCAGCCACACAACAAAATTGCGTTCTTTTTCAAGACAGGTGGTCAGACAGACTGATGGTATCTCCAAGTTATCTCGTCGCTCCATGACGGGGGGGCAAAAACTGACCAAATTGTTCGATGAAGGAATTAAAGAGATAGTTCAGATCTTTTAAATGGGCATTCTGTGGAGAGGTTATAAACAATGATCATCTTACCTGTTGTACATATACCATATTTTTTGGCCTTTAAGTCACAGTTTTTTGCATAATTTTCATGTCCTGCAACTTATACACCGAAGCGACATATTTATGGATTTTTTCCCATATTTATAAACCAATTTTTGGTTGAGATATGACTGTTTTTATTCATTCTGACTGAAAAAATTGAACACTACCATTTTCAGCCGCTAGATGGCACTCAAGTAAACCATCAAATCAGCTTCATTTTGCTGCACCGCCCCGGCAGAATGCAGCTAATTTGACCATTAAAGTGCATTTTTTAAGTAAAAGTTCAACAAGTTTTCCTGCTTTGCATGTTAACATCCAAACTACACACCTGCACACAATCATGGTGTCACTCGACATTTTTTATGCATTAATAAATTAATTACCAAAAAATCATATTTCAAAAATGAATATTTGAGGTAGGCAACACCAAGGTAACATCTACATAGATCAACTAAGCTCCTGAAAAATACATCCTGATGTATATTTTTTTAATTTTTAATCAAGAAGGATCCTTTTTACTTGCATATATTTAAAACTTATACTGCAGCCAGCCACCAGGGGGTGCTCATTTTGTTTTGCCTTCAACTTCCATGTTCCTTTTGTTTCTAGTTGATCACATTGATCATATGATCAACTGATTGTAGCAGTTTATGGCTCCAAATGGAAGTAAAACAAAAAGTTATCTGTAACAGGTAAGACAGTAATCGGTCATACCCTTTCTCCAGAGCCCCGCTTTAAAAGATCTGAAGTATCCCTTTAGGGCCTGACAACACATGCAGAGTCTGACATCAGGTCCTCCTGGACTTTAATGTTTGTTCTACTGATGGGGCCTGTTGTTCCAGCTGAAGGTAACGAGACACGTGGTTGCTAAAGTGTGAGGAAGTCAAAGGCAGATAATTAAAACCCGGCCGGGCTCCGGCTGTTTGTTTTTATGGTTACATGGCAACACTCGGAAATAAACGTTGGTGTTTTTTCCCCGAGCAGTTGTTCAATATGAAGTGAAGCTTCTGAGGGTCAGCGGTGAGATGCTTGCAAACAATAAACACATCTAATTAGATTCCCCATCTCCAGATGACAGTTGCTGAACAAGTTTCAGATTCATCCTTCAGCTCCTACCTTTGTGGTTGAAGAGCCCCTCCATCTCCATGGAGGAACGGGAGTGGGCGATGCACAGGATGGAGCAGGGCACAATCCCCTCCTGGGCCGGCGAGCGGTCCGTGGTGCGCACCAAACACCAGTCCGGCTTGTCGTGGAGTCGCTCCAGGACCTCCACGGTCTGGCCTCGGCGAACCGTCAGCTCCCCGTTGCTGCCCCCGTTACCGGCCACGAAGTCGTGCATCACCACCGTCAGCTCGCAGCCGCCAGAGAGCTGGAAGGGAGGGAACAGGTGCTACGGGTCAGCAAGCCGTTTCAGCCATGTTTAAAACAAAGTCACTAAAATAAGTAAAATATAAAGAAGTGGTGCGTCGATGTCCTTGTCGCTGAATGATTTGAACAGTGGATGTTTGTAGATTTGGACGCAAGTGTTTTTCTGGACTGAATTGAACAAAGAATGTAAGTAAACCTAAATGTTTTTGATGCAAGGTATTCAAGTGGGGGAGACCAGAGTTTTTTTTTTTTGTTGCAGAGCAGTGATGGACCCTAGCGAGTGGAAGGAGCCATTTTATCATTACCAGGTGCAATGGAGGAGCCAGTGGAGCGGAGGGTGGGGGATGGTGGCCTTGGGCTTCATAGAATAATCTTTGGCCACCCCAATCATTCGAGGAAACTATACTTTGAAGCAATATAAAACTAGAGAGCATAATTTCCTCAAATGATAGGGGTGGCTGGTTTACATATAGGCCTATATATGGTGGTGGCCATCTTGGATTTTGACGTGGTAACTCAAGTTTTGATAGTGACCTTCCTTAAGCCTAGATGTAGCCACACACCAAAATGGAAGTTGGTACCTGACTTATTTTTCCAGTTAGTGCGCTCACAACATTCATGGACGAACAGACGTTTTTTCCAATTCCCACTTTACGCTCCGCGACGGAACGAAAACTGCTCACGGGAGATCACCAACTCACAAGACAAGCTACAAGTGGTACATGTTAAAGTCATGCATAATCTAACACTGTAAAGTTCAATGACATTCCCTCTAGAAAAAAAAATGTATGAACAAAAAGCAAAATTTTTGATTCAGTATTCTTTACTTTTAAATTCTAACAGTTCTAACTGGTGACTCATTCTGAGTCAATGAAACAACAAACTGTATTGTGGTGTGTATTTATTTATAAATACACATATTTACTGTATCTGTATTTATGATTAATGTAGCTGTAAAGTGAAGCTTTAAAGCCTCTTTGACAAACGTTCAAAACTCTTACAGATAAAGTAAGATTTTAAATGACTAACTAAAAGCTTCAAAGTTAAAACATGCAAACAATCTGCAGCTCCCCGTGCGACCCTTTAGGTGGAGCACAACAAAACGCATCAATATTTGCAACATACCCTCTGGTAGTGTGGCAAAGCCAGAGAACTGAGGAGCTGAGAAACAGGATTCGAGATCCTCTCCTCAAGTTTGTCAATCGTCTTCCACTCCCTCATGGTGAAAATTGTCCAAACAGCAAGAAAACTCAAGAGTTTTACCACAAGTCACTAAAAAGGCTCTGAATCAAACTTGGAAGATGCTCAAACACAAACAGAAGGTTTTGTTTTGGGTTTTACAGTTAATTCTGTTGAAAAGGTCCTAAAAATTCAAAGAAAACTTTTTAAATCTTCCAAAGTTAGGAGAAAATGTGTCCACTGTGAAAGTCAGAAGGATCTGAGACGTCTGAAGGAGTTCCTCGTTTCAAATTCCTCCCTGTGCAGAGCAGAGAGTCCGTCCTACTCGGAGAACAAAACGCTCCATAAATGTTGGAGGAAAAACAGTTTCAGCCCAAATTTTGCAGAAAGCATCGGATCGAGAGCTGCGAGGAGTCAAAACGGTGCCCTCCTGTCTGCCATGGAGACGAGCATCCTCTGTGAGGAGGAGAGTGGGAGGCTGAGGCTGCGGACCGGAACAGTAACACCCCCTCCACTCCACACACACAGACACAGACACAGCACTGTGGCTGCCCCCTGAATGAAGCGTCTCATGTGAGTCCCTGCAGACAGAGACACATTCAGGAAGCCAGAATGAGAAGCACATTCAAATGTGCACGTGTTCCACCGTGCTTGAATCTTCATGCGTGCGAGCGGGCGCCTCAAACTCAGGAGACAATTCTTAATTAATTAATTAGGGTCTGTGGCGGTTCTGTTACATAAAACAAGCGAGGCGCTGAGATCCGAGCACTGCAGCGGCCACGAAGCTGAACGTGGACATTTTCTGATTCTCCTTGTTGCAGCGAGATGAGCTGGTCAAGATCCAAACCATGAGCCGGTTCACTCCTGCAGCCCAGAAGTAATACGAGTCAAGAGAGATGCATGTTGTTGTTGTGTTTTCTGTGTGTGTGTGTACACAATTGATCATCCTGAGTGTAGGAGGTTCAGCCTTCTGTGGTGTCATTACCAGATTTAACCAAAGCTGAAAATCTCTGCTCACAGTGAGCTCCCTCACACTCACACACATGCACACACAGCTCAAATCTCTGTCAGATGGACTCTTTCTTCCTCCTGATACAATCCAGCACGTTCGCAGGAAACCATTTGTGGGCACTGCTCCGTGTCTGATGACCACGTGTGACGTCGGCGGTGTCTGAGCCAGTGGCAGCGCAGCTCTGGACTGATGTCAAAAACTAAATAATGTGTGACGGGATGTGACGTAATCACCTAATAATAATCAGTCTAATAAATCTGCTGCCTACTACATGTAAAAGGACAAGTGTGTGCGTGTTCCTACCTTATCACTGTCCAGTGTGTTCTGGGAGGTCCGGGAGGCGATGGAGATGGTGTCCGGTTGGCTGCTGGCGTCTCCCTGGCTGTCCAGTTCCTCTCCATCCCTTCAGGCACAAAATAGTAAAGTTGTTTTTTTATAAGGACTGCGGTTTTTACTCTACACCCAAAAAAACAATACAGTTTAGAAATGCCACTTTTGTTTGAAGCAATGGGGACTTCAAATTCAATTAAATTCATAAATACTTTATTAATTATAAAGGGAAATTAAATGTTGTTGTAGCTCATCATCCTGGTTTTGTTAAAGAGTTAGAGATGCTGATGGCTGTGGCAGGAAGGATCCCCGCAGCGTATCTGAAGAATATGGCTGCAGATGCCGATCTGTCCTCCCAGACACAGTGGGCCTCTTGGTCCTTCTGGGCAGCAGGATCACCCGAATGCTGGCCAGAACTCCTCCTCAAGTGATGGCCACTCCTCTCAGCAGCTTGTTGAACTCCTCATCATTGCAGACAGCCAGCTACAGGTGTCGGGGGATGATCCTGGTCTTGTTGTCATAAGACACATTTCCTGCAAGCTCCAGGATCTCAGCGGTCAGGCACTTGAGCACCATCGCCAGGTAGGTGGGAATACATCCACGTTGCCTCATTTTCAACTCCTTTGGGATTTGGGGTTGTAGTTGAATTATTATTTGAGCTTTTGAGATGTTAATCAGCTGCTCCCGGTTGTAAAAAAAAACCACCTTGTTGTCATGGTTACGCATCATAACAAATGCCCAAAAGTAAAAAGTTTTCATTAAAAATCCTTCCAGCTGCACAGCATCAGATACCAGAGAAACAATCATCCAGAAAAAAAAAAGCCATTTACATCCAGATAAAAGAGGAATTAGTTTTCAAAAGCAATATCCCAGAATGAAAGTAACAGCTACTCCAACATAGGGGCCAAGATGGGGTAGAGGCAGGGCAGCTGTCTCAGGACCCGAAAGTCCAGGTTCGATCCCCAGTCATTGCACATCTTGTGGTGTCTCTGAGCAGGACACCTTATCCCCAATTGCTCCCCAGGCACCTTCAATAGCTGCCCACTGCTCCACCTGAGTGTATCCCAGGAGCAATGGGTTAAATGTAGAGAGCCAATTTCATTATTGTATGGGAACATACAATGATGACAACACATTTATTTTATTTACATGCAGCCACCTTGAGCGGCACATTTCTAGAACTTCTGGTCAAATTATACTTTTCAGAACTTTCTCTGTGTCTGCGGTGTTTACGCAGAGACAATCGTCGCTCCTGCTCACCGTCTGCCTTTATGTTTAGTCGCGGTGGCTTTAGGGATGTGAATGGGCTCCTTCAGAGCTCCTCGCAGGTGGACGGTTCGCTCCTGGATGACCTCCCTGATGTGTTTGATCCAGTCCTGCTTGTTCTCTAAACTCGATGCCTGAAACACACACACACACAATGAGGGACTCGTAACACAGAATGAACGTCTTTAAGGTTTATTTTAAATTATGATCCAATAAACAGTAATTCTTTAGCTTCTTACATTTTACCTTCCATACATTTTGATCTGATGCCAACAGTGTGACTAAAGCGTCACTCAGGGGATTTTAAAAACACATTTTTTTTTTTTTCAGTTCTGACACTCAGCCTACTTTGCACAGGTCATAATTATGCTTGATGCAGAGCAGTTTTATTTAAGATGCAGCTTAAAGCAATAGTTTTGATCTTTTGAAGATTGTAGATAAGATATTTAAGGCAGCATAAACTCCCTGGTCTTCACTCATTAATGTAGATTTGCACTTTTTGAGTCACTTTTGTCACTATTTTTTTTTAATCCGCATTAACCTAACAGCGTCATGCAGGAGGTTCTGGGTAACGTCCGGACTTTATTGGGTTACACCAATTCAGTCGTCATTCTTCTGTGTGTTGCATCGCCAAGATTACAACTTCGGTTTTAGTTTCTTTTGTAAAATTTTGCCTTTAAACCAGTACTTAGACTGTTTTTGTTGGGCCCCCGTTGAAGGAGAAACCTATCTCAGAACCAAAGATTAACGACGAGTGATACACAAGAATTCACCACATTTCAAAGTTGAATCCCTTTGAGTGAAATAAAGTCATTCACGACAGACGTCTGTTGGTCCAGCAGATAAAATAGCTATTTTAAGTTATTTTAACTATCGGTGCTATATTGTTTTTAACAACATCATCCTTTGGAACTTAAAAGTTAAATAAAGGCAGTAACACATTATGAGGGTTGATATATTTGAGAATAACTTATTAATGAATTTATTAACTTATTTATTAATTAATGATAATAACTTGTCATTAATTTATGAACTTTGAACATAAAATATCTGCTTGATTGGCAATAATGCAGATGAACTAGATAAAGAAACTCAACAGAATTAATGCACAAGAAGTAAATTTTTATTATTTATAATCATTAATTTTTTTCTATTCTTCTTCTTTCAACTGCTCCCTGCGTTAGGGGTCGCCACAGCGAACTAAGTCGCAAGAAGACTTGGCAGTTGTTGTTTTTTTACGCCGGATGTCCTTCCTGATGCAACCACAGACCACCGAGCTACCACAGCCCTCTGTGTGGAGCAGAGATCTGCTATCTAGGACACCAGGAGGAGCAGATGGTGGGGGTTAAGGGCCTTTCTCAAGGGCCCAGAGTGGGGCGAATGAAGGTGGGGGCAGGTGTGGGTGCTTCACCTACCCCACCCACATTTTTGATGTTGTCAGTGCCGGGGCTTGAACCAGCGATCTTCTGATCACAGGCCCACCTTCTTTAACCTCTGCCCCACCACTCCCCCTATTTTATAATTATTAAATGCGTTACATTTATCACAGCAGTTACGTCACAGTGTGGTTGCAAATATAAGCAAGCTTAGCCCATTCAAATCACAAAAACCTTGTTGTTTTTTGTTTGTTTTTTGCCATCATTCTGTGTGTTTCTGAAATTTGCAGATATTTATGACAAACTAAAAAGATGTGAAACTCACTTTCATAGATGAAACATGGTTTCTCGTTTACCAAGTTTATCTTAGCTATAATCTTTAGCGTGTAGAACACATAAACGTCTTTTAGTGTTAATATTGTTTGACTCCAGGAAGTGAAGCAGCACAAACACCCAGACTAACAGGAACTCTTTTTGGTACGACACCTGTCCCGTTGTGAGCTTTTAGGAATGAAGCGAGCATCAAGGTGTGGAGGAGAACGCACCACACTGTGAAGCTGTAACATGTTCAATGTGTGATGGACGTTTCGTACCTTTTTAAAAACACGATGATTTAACAGAGTTTACAAATCCTCGATTAAAATCCTTCATTTTAGTGATAACATAACTTTCCATTTTCCAAACTTACTTTATTATAGAGAAAAATAACAAATAAGGACGGCACTGTGGCACAGTTGATAGAGCTGTCGCCTCTCAGCGAGGTAACCAAATCAAATCTCAGCCAGAGAACTTTCTGGGTGGAGTTTTCATGTTCTCTTTGTGCATGCGTGGGTTTTCTCCGGGTACTCCGGTTTCCTCCCACAGAACAAAAACATGTACAGCATGTTAGGCTGATTGGTAACTCTAAATTGTCCCTAGGTGTGAGTGAGAGAGTGAATGGTTGTTTGTCTCGTTTGTCTCTATGTGTCTCTGTGATGGACTGGAGACCTGTCCAAGCAGTCCCCCCCGCCTCTCGCACAGTGACCCCCACGACCCGAAAAGGAAGAAGTGGGTAAAGATAATGATGGATGGAATAGATAGATTTGTTGTTTTGTGCGTTCTTAAAATAGGTTCAGGTTGCGTTGTTACAATGTTAGTTCCTCCTGCTGCGTGTTTCGACTGGAGGGGAAAGAAAAACTACTTAAAAACTACAGCTTTAAAAAATAAGTGTATTTGTAAAACTCTTAAAAAACTCGACATCACCTGCTCTGCAGATGTCTGTGAGCTGAGTAAGTGGCAGAAAGCGAGCGTTAACTTTAGTTCTTCAGTTTTAACGTGACGTCAGCGTAGCATGGAGTGAAAACCAACGACATGACACAAAGTTGCTTTTGGATACCTTGAGTACGATCTTGTTGTCAGAGGTCGGAGTCCTGCCCACCCAGAGGGCAAACTTACAAGGATCTCCCTCCACATGTTCTGTCACTCCGAGCTCTGACGTCTGAAAGGATAAAAAACCAAAGACAGCAGCTAAAAAAAATCAACAAAACTACACAAGAACTACACAAACTGTGTGCTGCAGGAACACGTTGGTCTTACGAAGAGTTTGCTCTTGTAGAGGTATTTGCTGCGCCCGTTTGAGTCTTTAACTTCCTTGCTGAAGACCAGGGACATCTCAAACAGGAAGAGGTGTCGGTCCCGGCCCTTACGGATTAACGTCTTAGGATCCCAAACCTGGAAGGAGTCCTGGAGGATCAACTCTCCCTGGGAGTCGATATTCCCATCAAACCCTGCAGCAGTTAAAGCAGAGGAGGAGGACATCAGCGTGTGGCAGAATCATGCTTGGACAGAGAAAAGTGGAATCACTCTGGAGGCAGTGATGAGTCATTTGTGTGTTGCTGCTTTTTAAAAATGAAGTAAAATAACAATAAAATAATTACATTAAGAACTAGCCCTCTTAAAATAAATGCACACTGCCCATCACCTTGCATACAGAAGCTTTAAACAAAGATCGTGTTATCTGTTCGTGAACAAAAAATGTTTTGGGGATGACTTTCTGCGACGACTGTACCACGTTTTAGCTCCATACGTGTCATTTTAGTGTTTTATAAGCTCAATTAGCTGCCTATCAGTTGTAGATGTGGGTCCGATGATTACTTTCTGAGAGTTTCATTAAAATTTATCCAGTGGTTTGTGAGATATTTTGCTAACAGCTAGATAAATGAACCCACAGTGTGTGTTTATGGTGATAAAAGGTGTAATTTCAATCAACCTTTATTTAGACAGGTTAATCCCATTGAGCCTCGAGGACTCATTTACAAGAGAGACCTGATTTCAACAAAGAAAGATGACAACAATGGACAACAGCGACAACAGGCAGCAGATAACAGCGGGCAGATCTTTCTATAAAATATATCAAGATGACTAGTTTGAGTCTTGAATAAGACTAAATGTTAATGTTTGTGCTCACCTTCCAGCATGGACAGGTGCATGGCGTCGTTGGCTCTCTTTGGGACACTGAGCATCACCTCCAGCCCATCCTTGATCTCTCCTTTTCCCTCCTCACAGCACGTCAGCAGCTCCTAAAATGCAAGCATGCAAACACATTTCAACACAAACTGAATAAAAGTACGTTGTTGTTAAAAAGTTATTGCATTCATATGTTTCGCCTGACAAATTGGTGATGACAGACCGTCTATAACAAAGGTGAGGAAAAGTAAAACCTGGTGTCAGTCAAGGGACGACTTCCAGCAACATTTATAAAAAAAAAAGACACATTTACAACAGTTCTTTAGATGTAGTGTAGGTAGTTTACTTGTGATTTCTATCCATCAAATCATCTAAAGCAGGCGGTCAAACTTTGTTACAAACGGGGCCTAAATTAATCATTTATTTCAAACCAAGGGCCAATTTCAGTCAATACTTCACCTCTTGTCAGATACATGACACCTTTTTTTTGTTGCTGGTTCCACAACCAGAGTTTCATCAGTCTCATTTAACGTTCTGTCTCTTTTATTATGTCAAAATCAACGATTACCGAACAATTCAAACACATTTTTCTTGGCTTCAAAATTGGCTCACTGTCATGCGATGTCTGCATTAAATAACATAAGCTCAGTTTTTAAGTAAAATGTGAAGCAATGAATACATTTTGTAAAAAACAAAAATAAAAATCATCTCGGGGGCCAGATAAGATGTTAACAAGGACCATATCTAGTCCAGGAGCTTTGTGTTTGACATGTGTGATCCAAAGGAACTCCTCAAATAAAAATCCAAGCATACAGATCCTAACATTTTACTTTGAAATATGAAGAGAGTACAGAAGACGAGTACAGTATATGGCACAATACGCCTGTCACTATTACACAGCAATCTATAACAACGACCCAGACAAGCAAAGACCTTGTATAACTTTGACCTTGATTTATGACCTTGACTTTGGAGCTGGGGCGATGAAACGTGTATGCGATACTTTGTGCGATGATGATGTATAAGTACAGGAGGCTGTACCGTCTGCCTTCGATGGCGAATAACAAAAAAACAAACAAACAAAACACATTTAAGCAGACTCTGCTGCGCACAATCAGAAACATTTCTGCCTTAGCGAGATCATTCTCATTTAGATGTTCTTCGTTGCGGTCTGCGTCAAAATAAAGTTTATTGAAAATGTTTGTAAAAACATTCATAACCTATCATTCTTGGCTTCATATTTGGCTAACTGCTTTGAGGAGTCTGCTTTAAACACACCTTGTTGTTTAGGCAAAACAATAAATGACACAGACAGCCTGTCACAGATTAGCAAGCTAGTTTTAATACACGTAAAGAACTATTTTGTGGGCCAGATAAAACTGTAAGAAGGCCGTTATCTGGCCCACGGGCCCTGAGTTTGCCATGTGATCTTTAATATCTTAATTTAAAGCAGCTCGTACCTTCAGGAGCAGCTGGTATTTTGTGATTCGCTGGACGGGTTTGATCAGGTAAGAAGAGATGGAGTTGGCAAGACGGTGTCTTTGTTGGATTTCCTGAGAATCAAAAAGAGGTTTTCAGTCTTTTCGCCCTCATGCCTTACAGAGACAAACACTGGGACAAACGAGGGGCTCGGATCGTCTCCGACAAACACTTTCTACAAACTCAAAAGCTTCACTCACGTCAAAGTAGTTCCCAGCATGCTCCAGGATGAGCTGGGTGGAGTCCGGCTTGTTCTTACAGTAGTTCACATACATCTGGAACTTATCAGCCTTAACAGAACAAAACAACATGTCACACTGTAAACATCACAGAACGTCCAGGACTGAGCGTAACATCCCAGGAGTCTTCTGTACGGACACATTTTCTCACAAATCAATTAAAGAAATGACAGCAGCTGCAGTGAAAAACTAGCAAAGACAATAAGGAGCAGGACATCTCGTACCCAGGTCACGAAACAATGGCCGACGTCCTCCGGAAGCTGCTCGTATTTCTCCAGCTCCTTCAAGAAGATGCTGTTCAGGGACAACAAGAGTTTTATAAATCTTATAAATTCATGTCCGAATATATGAGTTTCCACAACACGACTGTAAAGAATACGCACTTGTGGTGAAACTCGAAGATGTCCTGCATGTTTCCAAAGATAATGTGCTCCTTGTTGACGATGCCAGGAGGAATCTCCTCCACACCGCTGGTCATCTCCCACAGGTACGTCTGTGTGACAAACACACCTCAGAGGTGAGTCACAGGTAAACAACACTAACTCACCGAGGAACTGACGGCATCGTAAACAGACGTGCAAGCTGAACTTGAAGGACTGAGGCTGTGGAGAAATGATGTTTGTGCGGATCGTGGGCAGCACTTACATCCATACACTCTCGCAGGTCTCTGACGTAGGCTTTCTCTGTTTGGATCAGCTCAGCCATGATGAATCTGAGGACGGAGATGTGATAAATGTTTTTATGCAACAAAATGAATGCTCAAATGGAAACGAAGGCGTCCGCAAAACAATCAAGGATTCAAGGATTTTTATTGTCATACCAGCTCACATTTTCATGTTTATGGCACGAAATTTGGACTCGGGTCCCAGATCAAGAAGCCTAACAATTAACAAATAAATAAATACAAAAGAGTATAAATATATATATAATAAATAAATATAATAAAGTTAAAAGAATATAACATGCATGTAAGAATGCAGATGTAAATGTAAGATTATGACAAAGAAATATGTCAATAATCTAAAACAAGTACTGCTCACAGAATCCTTGCTATCATTTTTGTGTGAAGTAAAGTTTTCGCAAAATATAATAAAACATTTTTTTTTTTTTCCAACTCTTCATTTCAGTTTTAACAATTGTAAAATCATTCAACCTTTATTTAGACAGGTTAATAAAGGTTGAATGATTCTACAATTGTTAAAACTGAAATGAAGAGTTGAAAATTGTAGAATCATCCAAATATTGGTGCATTTTACTAAACAACTTTATTTTGTCAGGTTTAAATGAGTTATCAAGTTAAAAACTCAAAGAACATCTTGAATTACTGTCACAGACAAATGATTAAATAATTAGATTTTTTTTCTTTTCATATTTTGAATGGTTTGGCTTTTTTGTGCCATGAAGTTTGTTTCAAGACAGAAAAATGAGCAAGCTTTGTGTGTCCACTGTGAGCTGTTATCATACATAGTGTGATTACTGTTCACGAACTCCCTGCTGTAAAAAGATCTTTAAATCAGTTATAAGTACTCATCACAGGCATCATAAAACATAAACGTTGTTTCTTCTGGTTACTACACTATCTGTGCTGCTGATCTCATGCTGCTGATTATTTCATGCAGCTGTATTCATTCGTACTCATCTGCTCACAGACTCATGTTCATGCTGCTGTTGTTCAGCACACTATTGTTTATGCACAAGTGTTTAGCGTATTTCTTAGTTCATATCTTAGATCTTATTACTAATTTTTTTTTTTTTTACAGTTTATACTTTTATTGGATGTAACTGGGAGCCTGTGTACACAATTTTGTTCCACCACATGTACCGCATGAGATGTGAAAGACAATAAAGAACCTTGCCCTTGAGGTAACAACATGACAACAAACTGGACTGGATTTAAAAACTTTACTCTTTATTATAACATCCTCCTACAATCAGTTATGAAACTCCACTTTTTCATAAAATAAAACAGGTTTCATCTCTGAGGTGTGATCCAGCTCTTACTCTTTCCTCCGTGCCGATTTCCTCTTCTCCTCGTTGAGCTCATGGGCTGCATCCCTCAGCTTGACCTCTAACCCTGGAGCAGTAACAGGGATGATGTCCAGCTGCAGCTCTTTACTCTGCGAACGCAGGGGGCAGCGGTTATCGTGCGGTCAGAGGAGAGAACGGCACCGTGGGACGCTGGCGTTGTTTAGTAAAAGCTGCGACGGTAAAATTAAACCCGGCAGCTTTGTTCCTCGTTTAAACTAATAAATCAGATTGTGTTTATTATGATGTAAGAACGTCTCTCTGAACATCTGGACTCGGCGAGATCTGCACTTACAGCCTTGTTTGAGTCCGATGAGATGCCGAGCGCCGTTTCCAGGCTGGTTCGGTATTTGTCCATGCGGAGAGAAAAGTCCCTGTAGCGCTTGTCCACCGAGGACACCCATTTCTTTATCTCCAGGGCATGGGCGTGGCCCTTTTCACAAAACCCATCCGCCAGCTGGATCAACAGCTTTACCCGCTCTTTGGTTTGCTGTCAATAGAGAGACATGGAGTGTATGTGTGTGCAGAGAAAAGGTAGACGAGTTAGGAGTCATGTGTCGCCTCATGGACACAATAGCTCGCTCTGGAAACAATAACAGTGACACAGCAAAGAGGGAGCAGGACAATAAACATGGCCTCCCATGTGAGAGGCGGACAAACACTAAATTGACAAACGGTGCGACGACACGGCCGACTTTTCATCAAACACAGCCTTCCACGCACCTTCGCTGTGATCTGGAAGTCCTCGTGCTCCTTCAGCAGCTCCTGCGTGTGGTGAATGCTCGAGCCGGTGGAGGTGTGTGTGGACAAGTAAAACTCTCCGGTGTCGTGGATCCACTCCAGGGCCTGGAACGCAGATCAGAAGTGAGCACACAGCCGACCACACAGTTTGTCAAAAATCCACACGAGGTCACGTGACGCAGGTAAATAAACCCGAAACTTGTGAACTCTGCTAAATAAAACGGATGGTGCAGCGTATAAAAAAATACACCAGTTTCAAACCCGAGGGACAGTTTTAGTTAATTTTTTATTTACATCTTCATCAATAACTCTTTTTAAGCCCTTGTAGTTAATTTGATTTTAATTATTGCCGCTGAAGGTGGAAGAACAATAATAATTTTGTCCGTATCTGTGATACGATATGTGACGAAGCACACCTCAGGTGGTGATCAATGGAAGTACTTCTACAAGAGATTACCTTTCAGAGTCAACCCCATTCAAGATGGCTGCCACGACCAACTGACGCTAGGTAGAGGTAAACTTTAGTGTGGTCATAACTGAACATCATCCTCAAAACAAATTGAGAGCGCTGCACATTTTGTGTTATTTCTGTATACATTTTGGCATTACCTGATAATCAGCCAGGTTTGTCTGTTAGCAAAATCTCTCATGAACCACTGGACATATTTCAATGAAGCTATCAAAAAATAAACACTATATGCACATTTACTAACAATTAACTTTTGGAACCACTAAAACAAGATGGTCACCACAGCTGACCAACACAATTAAATTCGATTCAATTCAGTTCATTTATATAACGCCAAGTCACAACAGAAATCATCTCAGGGCACTGAACAGAAACATTCGCAAAAAAAGTTAAAACTATTTGAGGTTTACAGATTTTCAGCCAACATTTGATGAGCTGGTAGCCGAGAGTCTCAAAGGTCTGACCTGACGGACCGGAACTCACGATGGCCTTAGTTTGAATCTATGGTGAGAAAGGTGATGAGCAATTCTTCTTCTTATCATTTGTCTTCTTCTTTTTCATCATCCTTCTTTTAAATCCTTCTTATTTTTCATCTTTCTTCTTCATCCTTCTTCACCATTCTTTTTCATCCTTCTTTTTCACCATTCTTTTTCATCCTTCTTTTTCACACTTCTTTTTTCATCCTTCTCCATCCTTCTTTTTCATCTTTCTTCTTCATCCTTCATCTTTTTCATCCTTCCTCTTCATCCTTCTCCATCCTTTTTGTCATCCTTCTCATCCTTCTTTTTCATCTTTCTTCTTTACCCTTCTTTTTCACACTTCTTTTTTCATACTTCTTTTTCATCCTTCTTCATCCTTCTTTTTCATCATTTTTCATTATTCTTCTTCTTCTGCTACTACTACTACTAGTATCAATATATCCGCTGTCCCTCCTCTGGACATGTCCAAATCATCTCAGTCTGGTCTCTCTAACTTTTTCTCCCAGTTGTTCAACCTGTGCTGTACCTCTGATGATCTCATTAATCTTATCCATCCTTGTCACTCCTAAGGAGAACATCAACATCTTCATTTCTGCCACTTCCAGTTCTGTCTCCTGTCTTTTTGACCATGTCTCTGTCTCCAGACCATATAACATAGCTGGTCTCACCATTGTCTTGTAAACTTTTTATTTGATCTTTGCTGACACTTTTTTTTTGGGTCACAAATCACTCCTGAAACTTTTTAGAAACAGTTACACTTAAAATCAAAGGTTACATTACACAGCTGTTCTTTATAAAGAGCAGACTCCCCCCACCAAAAAAAGAGTTTTTGATGCATTTTTAGACCTCAGTTTCAGAATGTCCTACTTAGTGTCGACTTTTTGTACTTGTAAACTGGGCCTGGAGGTGACACTGCACTGACCCACGGTGGCAGAACTGGTCCAGTCAAACTGTGAAACCAGAAAGCATTCTGGCCCCGGGGAGAAAACCTGGAAAGTCTTAGAATAGTCGTGTTCTAGAAAACAGCGATGATGTCACCAGGTTTTCTTGGCTCCGTGTGTGGAGCTATCTGCACCACGAGAGGGAGACAAGATGATCATTTACCTCCACGACCCAGTAACACCAGTAAACACGTACAGAACTTAAAAGTTATGGTATTCTGTCTGAATAAAATAAGTCCACATGTCTCTTTGGTCATGAAGTGTTTGGATGCTTCTGAAAACAGAATAAAACAAACTCTACAAACAAATCCTTTTTCACAGAGGAACCAGGTTCCTCCAAAAACCAAAACAGAGAAAACCAAGCTGTGGTTGCACGGCTCAGCTCAGCCTGAGGGGGAACCAGTGGGTTGAGATCATTTTTGGAAAGTCATTGTTGCATTTAAATTTACACAAGTGGTATGCTGATGTCTCCGTCTCTGACAGGTTAGTGAATGTTAGTAGTTTTGGAGATGAGTGTTTTTCTGGACAGGAATTGAAGAGAGAATGAAGTAAACCATAATGTTTTTGGTGCAAGATGTTGAAGTAAAGGAGCTACACTGACGAGAAGAACTGGGTATGTGGGGGGTGGGGTTCTTGTCTGAGGCAGAGCAGAGTGACAAATCCTGGAAAGTGGAGGAAGACATTTTATCCACCACCATATATAATGGTGGAGCCAGGGGTGGCCAGTGGTGGCTGAGGTTACCCAATCTGTTGCGGAAGCACGATCCGTAGTGTCGGCTCATTTGTGCATGCTCTAAAAGCAATACTTCCAGGTCTTATGGGTGATGTAGTGCTGCTTCACTTCACCACAAAGCGGTGCTGTTTCACCATGGAAATAATGATAATATTGGTTTATAATCATCCTGCTTTATTTCAGTGGTGATGAAGAGTTGTGTAAATAAAAACAACCACTTTATGCTGGCTTTGATTAAGTAATCCTTTGATTGATTTGATTAATTATTAATTAATAATGTAGCGTCCGATACACTGCCGAGATGGTGTAGAGGCAGGGCAGCCGGCTCGGGACCCGGAAGTCCCAAGTTCGATCTCTCACTGCACACCTCGTGGTGTCTCTGGGCAGCACACCTTATCCCCCCAAAATGCCACCTGGGCGCTTTCAATAGCTGCCCACTGCACCACCTGGTGGTGGATGGGTTATATGCAGAGACTAGTTTCACCATTGAATGGAAACATACAGTGATGACAATGTGATGACATTATTATTATTATATAATATATATTTTTTTTTTGCCAGCCATCTAGTGGTGGTTTTTATTTACACAACTCTTCATTAGCACTGAAATAAAACATGCACTTAAATTAGTGGTAATTTCTTAATGATTATAAACCAATATTATAATTATTTCCATGGTGAAACAGCGCAGCTTCTTGAAGATTAAACCGCTGCTGACCAAAAGTAAGACTGTTTCTTGTCCCCCCCTTCCTTTTTTTTTTTTACAAGAAATATATTAAAGCAAAACAAATTTTATATACAGTATATCGGACGCTAACTTATTAATTAATAATTAATCAAATCAATCACATGATTACTTAATCAAAGCCAGCATAAAGTGGTTGTTTTTATTCACACAACTCTTCATTACCAATGAAATAAAGCACAACGATTATAAACCAATATTATAATTTATCCTGATGCATGCTCAATAATCCAGGCAGAAAAATCTAAAGAAGTTAAATCTGGTCCTCTGGAAATTCAAAAAACAAAAACAAACAAAAAAAAAAGTAGAAACGTTTCGTCTTTCATCCGAAAGATTTCCTCAGTCTGAGGTGCTGTATTCAGCTCAGTCTCTTAAATAGCACCTTCTCAGAGTGGATCAACCAGTTTGCTGCTGACAACCAAAACCAGCTGCTCACATGGTCAAGAAGGACCATCAGCCTAACAATGGATCATTAGCACACTGATGGCTGTTTACTACTCACAGAGGGCTGAGTGATACTAGCAATAACAGCATTGTAAGAGGGGGACAGTTGAACACAATATTATAATTATTTCCATGGTGAAACAGCGCCGCTTCGTGGTGAAGTGAAGCAGCGCTACATCACTCGTGCGACCCAGAAGTATTGTTTGACACTACGATCATGCTTTCGCAACAGATTGGATAATCACAGTGGCCTTGGCCCCCATTGATTAATCTTCAGCCACCCCAGTCATTTGAGGAAACTTTACTTTGAAGCAATATAAAAACTAGAAAGAATAGTCTCTTCAAATGATAGGGGTGGTCAGCTGACATATAAATATATGGTGGTGGCCATCTTGAATTTTGATGTAACCCATCTTTTTAAAGGACCTTTTCTTACGCCTAGATGCAGCCACAAACAAAAATGGAAGTCAGTATCTCACTTATTTTTCACGTTATCATGCTCACAAGACAAACAGACAGACAGAGGGCATTTCAAATTCTCCCCGTTTGAACTGTGACGGGGAACGACAGCCATTTTAACTCTGTCATCTTTACAAACTTTCCACTTCCTGGACATTTGAGCTGAGCTGTCATGAAGAAACATTTCCTGGACATTGCACACAAAAAGAAAAAAAACACACATGTCGTATACTAATGTGGACCCAAACAGGAACACACCTGTTTGGCGCTCCTCTCAAACACCACATACTGCTGGCACTGGTCCAGCCTCCTCTTCCTCATGGTCCAGAAGTGAAGGACTCTGTTCTCTCTCTGCAGCAACTCGTTTAGGATGTCTGGACAAACACAAACGCATCATTTACTCAAGACTTTTGGATTTCAGCGAGTATATTTAGAATAAAACTAAACATTAAATTAAAACACAAGTTTTGATTGGTTGATGACTTACTCTTGACCTGAGTCTCGGGGGCTTTGACGTGGGACAGCAGGCCGGGCATGTTGACGCTGTTTCTGTGCAGGTACTTCAAGAACACGTCGGCGTTGCGCCTGGCTAACGTGCAGGCCTTTACACGTGCAGAGGGAGAGAATTATTAACACAAACACCAAATAAAAACATTTACTTTTCTATTTAAACTGAAAAATTGTCCTCACTTTGAGGAAAGCCTCCTTCTGCTCCAGATGTTTGCTGATCATAGGCGTGACGTGGTCCGTCTCGCAGTTTGGGCCCAGTTTATCAGCACCGCCACACCAGTCCTCTTCCCTCTTGTACTCCTGCTCCAGGCTTTCTAACACGCTGCACACCTGACACACACATACACACAAAGGCTCTAAACTAATGCTGCAGTATTATTCATGCAGAACACGATCAACTTAAAATGTCGTCATCTGTGCACAAGAAACTAGTACTTTAGTGATTTAGAAGTGCAGAATTAGTTTCACCTTCAGATTATCTAAAGGGAACTTAAAAAAAATGAAAAATTAAAGTCTGATTATCAGAGGTTGGAGTCATTTTAATCTCAGGGACTTTAAGTTAATCTCCCTCCATCCAGCACAGACAGACAGAAGTACCTGCTCGGAGGTTTTGTAGAAGGCCACAGATGCATTAACCAGTTTAAGCCTGTCCTCCATCTTCAGCATCAGCTGCTGCCAGTGGTCCGCCACCTTCAAGACAGACAAAACCAGAGTTTTAAAGACTTGACCGTTCAGTTGTTTTTCCGTAAAGGTGAGTGAAATTAAAGAACCTTCTCTGCACAGTCTCTGATCATGTCCATGTCGTAGTGGTTGGCCTGGAGGAGGGCCTCGGCCTTCTGCTGAACCTGCAGCGCACTCTGATGGGTTTTCTGCACGGAGGGAGACGAAAACACAATTTAACAACAACATAAACAAACGGTACACCGAAGTCCCCCGCCGCTGAGGGATTTGCACAGTGAATGTTTGTAGTTTTGGAGATGAGCGTTTTTCTGGACTGGAACTGAAATGAGAATGTAGAAAAACCTTAATGTTTTTTTATTCAAGATATTCAAGTGGAGGAGCTACGCTGTCAAGAACAGAGGAAGTGTTTAAAATTAGTTTTGTTTGTTTGAGGTGAAGTTTGCATGTTCTCTCCGTGCATGCGTGGGTTTTCTCCGGGTACTCCGGTTTCCTCCCACAGACCAAAAACATGCATGTTAGGCTGATTGGTAACTCTAAATTGTCCCTAGGTGTGAGTGAGAGAATGAATGGTTGTTTGTCTCGTTTGTCTCTATGTGGCCCTGTGATGGACTTGCGACCCGTCCAGGGTGTACCCCGCCCCTCGCACAGTGATTGCTGGACATGGGCACCAGCGACCCCCGTGACCCAAAATGGAACAAACGGGTAAAGAAAATGGATGGATGGATGGATGGATGTTTGAGGTGACGCAGAGTGATGGACCCTGGAGGGCGGAGGGAGCTTTTATCTTTTTTCCACCAACAGCTGCAGTGGTAGAGCCAAGGGGTGGCCAATGGTGGCCTTGGCCCCCAAAGATTAATCTTCTGCAACCCTAATCATTAAAGGAAATTATACTTTTAAGTTAAAAAGAACATTAAAAAAACAAACATCTTGGCTTCTGTTCTGAAGCGGAAGATGTTTCTTGGACCATCTGGAAGGCTTATAAGTTCTAAAATGTCTTAAGTGTGTGGAGTTCACAGCTTTAAAGTACTTTTTAGAACAGTGTGTTAAAATCTTTTTGGAACACAAACTTTCTGTCATTAAAACTTTACACCACCGGGCCGAACATGTCCCCACAAAGACAGAAGGAACAGAACTGCATCAAAGAAGTTCTCCAAACCTGCAGATATCGTAAGTGGACCTTTGTCAAATCAGCAAACGAATCCAAAAAACATGCTGCAAAACTGAACAGAGAGAGGAAAAAACACAAAAACATTGTCATCCCAGATGTTGCTGGAGGATCTGAAAAACTCTGAAGGATTTTCTCCAATTACAACATCCCGGTACATTTTAAACCAAACAGGACCATCAGATCTGTCTGATGTGGTGTCTGCAGGTCAGTGCAGTGAGGAATGTTCAGACCTCCATTATGGAGAAACTAACCAACCTCTCCACAGATGCATGGTTCAACACCAGAGAGTACTTCAGACCAGTGGTCCACCTACACGTTAAGGATAAGGAACACTCTGCTGAGGACCAAAAGTGGTCTGCTGGGTGACCACACACCTGCGTCTCTCACTCCCTGACTGCTAACGCAAAGAGAGGCAGACAGAAGCAGATTAAAAAGTAAGCCTGTAACAAGCAAAAATTGTAGGTCAAATCTTAGATTCTTGAATCATGAGCAGCAGAAGAATCTGTTGATGACACAACAAGCTTTTATTACCCCTGTATTGCCACTGTAATAAATGTTACATTTAAGTTACATTTATTACCAGACACAGATGCACTTGCAATAAGTATTGGTATTGATATCACCGATGCTAGCCTGAATTTTACTCAGTATCAGAACGGAAACCCTGGTATCGAACAACACTACCCTCAAAGAGATGAGCACAAGCCAAGTGACAGAGGAGGAACGCTGTTTCCTAAAGGGACAATTATGCCATCCACCACACCTCTGACACCCCACCCCCACCACCCCGGATCTAGATGATTCACATAAATTACATATTTTAGTCTGCAATCAGCAAATTTCATCAAAAAGCAACAAGTTTGCAGCTATGGGAAGTATGGATGTGCGCTCTCTGTGTTCTGGGTGGATTTCAGAGAAAATTATAATTCCTACAGTAATCAGAGTCAAACTGGGTGAGACAACAATACCTACATGTTCATGTATAATTTGTGTTTATTCTAAACAGAACTGTTGGATTAACAGAGTTTCATTGAAAAGGCTTTGACCTTTTTATACATTTATGAAGTTGGAATGTGTGGCATTAATTATGAGTTGGGCATTTTTGGACAAAAATGTCAAATTTATGAAACTTCAACGTTGACTGTGTAAAAACCATAAAACATATCAAATAGCCGGTTCAGGGGCGTAAAGTCCAACTTTCTGTGACCCATTTTTAACTTTGATTAATGCTCCTGTTGTGAAGTTTGCCCGAGTTACTGAGCTCCAAACAGAGCCGGGTTTTCTCTTCTGTTTCTGCTGCCATGGCCGAGGTTTTGTTTAGTGCAAGTCTGTTTAATAACTTCTGTAATGTACAATATACTGCTGCCACTTTTCTCCATGGAGACGCATGCTGTGATTTATAGATTGCTTGTTTTATTTCAAAGCTATGTATCAAGAAATAGGACATTTTTAAAGAAACTGGAGCAGTGAAGCATCTTAAAGCGTTTAAAGGTTCGTCCTGAGCTTTAAGCTTGTTCCAGACAGCAGACAGGTGGAGAATGAGGAACTCTGCAAAGGCTTTATGTCTTTAAGTAATGTCTGACTACTGCAGTTAAAGTGGAAACTCCTGCGAGAACAAGAGGAATTCTAAATGGCAGCAGGTAACTCCTTTTTAAAACAACATTTCCTCATGACATTGTTTCTTATTTTTAAATGTCAGCAGCACTTGATCATCAGTCGACGCAGGCTATTATTTCAACTACGCTTTCGCTTTCCTCTGCCCACAGGACCCGCTGTGGGTGTCGGGGATTATTGTCCATTCAAATAATCTACACCAGTCATACAGGAAGGTTTGTTCTGAGTGTGAATCTGTGATGCAAACAGAAGTAGGTCAGACATGGGCCTGCATGACAATGAGGCGGTTCTGATCGAGTTCAAAGACGAGCACCCCGCACGAAGGAAGGAAGTAAAACTGAGACGTAATGTAGCAAAGAGACAGAGAGATGAGTCATTCATTCCTCCACTCCGTGTATATTTTATGTTGAAGTGAAGAAGAGGAAACAGAGAAGTTTGTTTTTAAAGATAAAGGGGTTGAAGGAAGATGGGAACAATAAAACAAGATATATCAAGGTAAATATGGTGAAAGGAGGAGGTGAAACATTAAATACAACCACACAAATTGTATTTCTTCTGTTGGAAGACAACAATAAAGTTGAATTTCACCTCTATAGCATGTTGAAACTGTTCGTGCTCCTTCTGCAGCTGCTCAGCTTCTTGTAACGAGCTGGCGGTGATGAGGCCGGCGCTCAGCATCGACTCTCCATTACGGATCCAACCCAGCACCTGCAGCACACACACACACACACATTTACTTCTTTATTTTACCCTTTTCATTACCTAGTGTTGCAGTACTCAAGACCGGTCTTGGTCTCGAGACTGCTCTCAAGACCACATTTTGATGGTCTCGGTCTTGTCTTGGACTTGACTGCATTTGGTCTCTGTCTTGTCTCGGTCTCGGACATTGAGGACTTGGGATTTTATTTCAAGACCTGTTAAGACCACAACTGTGGAAATATCACTAAATTGCCAGAATATTGTCCAGTTTCTTTGTTAACATCTTTGTTTTTATTGGATGCAAAACACACTGATGCTGAAGATGGAGGACAGGCTTAAACTGTGAAATGCACTGGTTCAAATCCAAGCGATAACGTGACTCATTGACAAATACATTTTTTGTTACCACTGTCACGCCCACCCCCTTCACTTGCACACATCACTCCCAATGTTGCCATCTTGGTTGGGTTACTGCCAATTGGGCGGTTTTCAATCTGATTTTGCTGGGAACTCTGGGAAGATTTTTGCTGGATTGTTGCATTTTGCCACATATTGTTAAATTACCTTGGCTTGTACTGATGTGTGTTCATGTTCAAACAGTAAATATACTGTAACAATATACTGATTGGGCGGATTTTTGTGTGATGCGGTGGTTTTTAACAGATTTTTGGGCTGGAACACCTCGACTCTATCTGGCAACACTGGAAGAAAGTGAGAAGTGAATGTCTGGGCACAGGAGAAGATGTCTGCCAAATCATCAGTTATAAAATTTGGTTATTTAAATCACAAAGAATATATTTGTAACGAATATCCATTTATGTAGCTTTTTTAGGTGTATATCTACTACTTTAATGAAACCACTGTGCAACTATATGGTTATCCTTGGTCTTGAGTTTGGAGTTATGAAGAGTGTTTTGCCACTGCAGTTTTTTAAGACTTGGCATGTGATAAAACTGCTTCCAAGTTAACAGTTGTGTAGTTTTATTGTTGAATCACATGAAGTTAGGCCACTGAATGTCTGATTTCTTTGTTTTATAGCTTTGAAAATGTATAAAAGCTGATATATTCATTCAAAAGCAAACTTAAAGTTGCAGTGTGTAACTTTTATAAAAAAAAATTATAATAAAATTTTATATTTTATTTATTTTATTTGAGGTCTTGGACCCTAAAAGTCTTGGTCTTGTTTCGGTACATTCTGGTCTTGGTCTTGACTTGGTCTCAGGTTAGTTGGTCTTGACTACAACACTATCATTACCTACTGACATGTTTGTTTGATTTTTCTAAGCAATTTTACATCAGAACCAAAAGAAATCAGCTCAAATCTGTAATTATCTTCTTTTATTGAAAGCTGTTGTTTAAATCGTCCCTGTCAACAGATTAACAGCTCGACTCTGTTTAAACTTCCAGACCTTTTCATTTAATTTTGAACCTTTTCTCTGCTCTTAATAATCTCCTAATCTGCAGCTCCACAGCCCCCACCTCACACACACGACCTGAGGGCTTTTCATTGGGTTTGCTCAGAGTTCTGCTGGCCTGGTTGTTGCCAAAGGGCAGACTCACACAATCACCTCTCTCTCTGTGACGGTGTGGGTGACGGCAGAACCGTAAGAGAGATGATGCAACACACTCCGGTTTTCATTCCATTACGCTTCCAACGCCCTGAGGTGGGGAAAACTGCACATATAAACTATATAAATATTTAAACATATAAACTATCTAAAAATAACTCCTGCACTACCACAGTAGTTTACCTGAAATGTGTCTTGTAATAGAGACATAAAGAGGAATATGTCAGAAGGTTACCCTCCATGAAACGATCAGTTTAAATCCTAAAACTAGGTCATTTTAGTCCTGCGGTAACGTCTGCTCAGAACTGAAGGGCTCGCCGTCATCTCTGCAGGAAGCAAACATCTGTGTCCTGTAACATGCAGCAAACGTTGCATCGCCTCGTTGCAGCTCAAACCTATTATTATATTTGTTATTTTTCTATTTAACAGTGTAAGGTTGGAAAATGGAGAGACAAGTTATCTCTAAAAACAAGGATGGTAATCGAGGATCGTGTTTTAACAAAGATATGGGGGAGATGTCTGTCACTCTTTTAATGTGCTGGAGCTCCAAGTCAACCCAGCTGAGGTGAGATCCCCTCCATGCTCGCTTTGTTTCATGTTGCTGCAGGACTTCAGCATTACACAGATTTATAGCAAAATAAAAAAGTTCTTGTGATATGTTTGAGCCTAGCTGGTTTATATTTAGAACCATACCCTGACATACCATATTTTTTGGACTATAAGGCGCACGTAAAATCCTTTAATTTTCTCAAAAATCAACAGTGAGTCTTATAATCTGGTGTGCCTTATGTATTAATTATGGTTGTGCTTACTGACCTCAAACTGGTTTTATGTGGTACATGCCGCTCAAAAATCTGTCAAAATGTCTTAGTTTTGCTTAATGCGCCTTATAATCTGATGTGCCTTATGTATGAAAACAGACCCATTCATTGATATTGCGCATTATAATCTGGTGCACTTTATAGTCTGCAAAATATGGTAACTATTCTGCAATAAATGTTAGATAATTTACTTTTTTTGCAATAATCCTGATGACTTTGTTTGTTCAAGTCATGCAGTTATTTTATGTTCACTTGAATAATGTTCTTTCTTCAAAGTGGGGCCTGACAAATAACGTGAGAGCCATAAGGAGACAATCCCAAGCCAAAGCCAGTTCTGGGTCAGTCCTGAGGTCTCCTGAACATGCCTGAACCATCTCAGCACCAGGGATATGAAATAATTGCTCAGTTTCCATCTCAGTGATTGAAGGCACAGTTTAATTAGTTTTAGATTCAGATCTATAAATTAGTAAATGCAACAACTAAACACGACCAAAAAACCCATCAGTTATTGTTCACCTTACCATCATACTGTCACAACCCTCTGCGTGTGTAATTTGATCTCCTTTTGTTTTTAATTTATATTTGGGCTGCTAGTTTTAGTTTTTAGATTCATTTGTTTTGTTTTGAAGCATCAGCAGCTGAAATTGCTCCATGCAGGGGTCGTGCTGTAATTACACTTAGCTGCTGAATGGATGCAAGGGAAAACATCACCTCTTTATATGAGATTCACCAAAACAACAAGACAAATAAAGGGCCTCTTAATGTGAGGCTACAATGTTTTTTATTTTTATATTTCCAAAATGAGACAAGCTCCAGCTGGTCTGATGAGAAAAAAATGCTGTTTTCCAAGAGAAAATTATTACTTAGTCTATCTATCACAGGTTTGTTTAGACTTTTACATCATCATAAGACAAGCGATGCACTGATGTCCCCCACTGAGAGATTTGAACACTGAATGTTGGGAGTATTTGAGATGAGTGTTTTTCTGCACTGGAACTGAACAGGGAATGCAAATAAACCTGAATGTTTTTGCTGCAAGATATTTAAGTGGATAGGAGTTGCAGTGAAGAGGAAAGGGAGGTGTGTGACAGACCCTGGTGAGTGGAAGGAGAAACTGTATCCACCACCAGGTGCAATGGTGGAGCCAAGGAGTGGCCAATTGTGACCTTTATCCCCATAAATTAATCTTTGGCCACCCCAAAAGTCACCACAGCCGTTTGAGGAAACTACTTTTAAGCAATTTAAAAACTAGAAAGCATAGTTCCTTCAAATGTTAGGGGTGGTCGGTTTACTTAAATTAACGGCGGTGGCCATGTTGGATTTTAATGTGGCTACCCAGTTTTTGATTTCCTTTCTCACACCTAGATGCAGCCACACAACAAAATGGAAGTCATCCATCCATTTTCTTCCGCTTATCCGGGGTCGGGTCGCTGGGGTAGCAGCCTAAGTAGGGAGGCCCAGACTTCCCTCTCCCCAGCCACTTGGTCCAGCTCCTTCAGAGGAATCCCGAGGCGTTCCCAGGCCAGCCGAGAAACATAGTCCCTCCAGCGTGTCCTGGGTCTTCCTCTGGGCCTCCTTCCGGTGGGACGTGTCCGGAACACCTCACCAGGAGGCATCCTAAACAGATGCCCGAGCCACCTCAACTAGATCCTCTCGACGTGGAGAAGCAGCGGCTCTACTCTGTCTCTCCCAGATGATCGAGCTTCTCACCCTATCTCTAAGGGAGAGCCCAGACACCCTGCGGAGAAAACTCATTTTGGCCGCTTGTATCCAAGATCTCGTTCTTTCGGTCACAACCCAAAGCTCGTGACCATAGATGAGGCTGGGAACCTAGATCGATCGGTAAATTGAGAGCTTCGCCTTTTGACTCAGCTCTCTCTTCACCACAACAGACCTGTACAGCGCCTGCTTCACTGCAGATGCTGCACCTATCCGCCTATCGATCTCACGCTCCATTTTTCCCTCATTCGTGAACAAGACTCCACGATACTTGAACTCCTCCACTTGGGGCAGGACCTCCTCCCCGACCCGGAGAGGGCACTCTACCCCTTTTTGGCTCATGGCCTCGGATTTGGAGGAACTGATCCTCATCCCGGCCGCGTCGCACTCGGCTGCGAACCGCTCCAGCGAAAGCTGTAGATCACGATCTGATGAAGCCAATAAGACCACATCATCTGCAAAAAGCAGAGACGTAATCCTAAGGTCACCAAAACAGATCCCCTCAACACCTTGGCTGCGCCTAGAAATTCTGTCCATAAAAGTTATGAACAGAATCGGTGACAAAGGGCAACCTTGGCGGAGTCCAACTCTCACCGGGAACAAGCCCGACTTACTGCCGGCGATGCAGACCAGGCTCTGATACCGGTCATACAGGGACCTAACAGCCCGTATCAAAGGGCCCGGTACCCCATACTCCCAGAGTACCCTCCATGGGGTTCCCCGAGTGACGCAGTCGAACGCCTTCTCCAAGTCCACAAAGCTCATGTAGACCGGTTGGGCAAACTCCCACGCACCCTCCAGGACCCTGGAATGGAAGTCAGTACCTCACTTATTTTTCCTGCTTATTATGTCTACAACATACACGGATGGGCGGCATTTCCAGTCCCCCCTCTTTGCTCAGTGATGGTGGACAAAAAGTGTCTTCACATAGTTGGAAAAATGTGGGAAAATATAAATAAAATCACAATAGTTAATATTTTAAAAATAAATTTACATTATGATCAATGTGTTGCTATTACATCATTAATATGAGTTTATGTGGTTGCTGCCTCTGACTGAGATAATATATAGTTAAAAATAAGAAGTTAAACCAACTAATCGTTGTCTTTGTAACTTTTGCAAAAACTGATTTTTGTTTCAGAAGTCCAAAAATAACTCTATTCAAGAAATTAATCAGCTCCTTTCTCTACCTTTTATTAATATTTCTGAGTGGACATGTCAGGCTTCAGAGAGTTATCATCTTGAGTTCATCTGCTGTAGACATTTTGGTACCACTTTACAATAAGGCTCCCCTTATAGATGGCTAATAAATGTTTATAGATACATTATTAATTCCTCTATAAGCACTTAATAAATCATTAATAATTATTTATTATGCATTAATTAAGGGTGACCAACAGACAAATCTGACCAGTTTGTTGCCAAATAGTGAGACAAATCTGTTCACCTATATATTTCATCTAGAGTTGTTATATTAAACATTTCAGAACTACCTTGTAAGCACAATAAGCATTTGAAAACCTATTTATTTTAGGATATAATATTAGTTGTAGATACTTAAAATGCAGTGATAAAGTGCAATATTTTATGCTAAAGAAATAGGTTTACAAATGTTTATTGTGAGTACAAGGTAGTAACTTAGTCTCAATATTTAATGTAACAACTCTAGATGAAATATATAGGTGAACAGATTTGTCTCACTATTTGGGAAAAAACTGGTCAGTTTTGTCTCTCTGTCACCCTTAATTAATACACAATAAGCAGCTATTAATGATTTATAAAGTGTTTATAGAGGAATTAATAATGTATCTATAAACTATTCATTAGCCATCTATAAGGGGAGCCTTATTGTAAAGTGGTACCGACAATTTTTACAAATTTACTTTGCATTCTGCCCACAAACTAACACATTTTAAATATTTTATCTTTGGTGGCTAACTTCCTCTGGGTCACAGTTATAACAAAATATTAAAAAAAAAATAAAAAAAATGAAGAAGCCGTGATTAAAAAAAAACAAACAAAAAAAAGATTTCTGGTGATCATTTCTGGTTTCTACATCTGGTTTGCTCAACTTTTAGTGGTCTATGAGCGACATGTGGCTGAAGCTGCAGGCAGAACCGAGTTCAGTCTGTTTGGAAACAATTTAATAACTGCAGAAAAACGTGTAGTTAACAGAGTTTATGAGCTGTTGTGGAAATAAAATGTGAGCACTGTGTTTATCATAAAACTCCCCCCTGAAGGTACAAGTCCAATCTTTTCATCAGGCCCAGTTTTGGAGGCTGAAATTCTGCCTCTGGGCTGTTTAGCTAGTGGTTTCTGTGGTCAAAACGTAACACATGTTTTCTGTTTTTCTGTTTTCATTTTCCATGCGTAGCTTTCTTTTGTTCAAGTCTTGATTTACGGCCTGCCTCCGGCCACAGTGCCTTCTGTTTTCACCAGATGAGTAAGTTTGTACTCCCTCATCAGCCTGCTGCCACACCGTGAGTCTCCGTTTGGGATTTTATCTTCAACATCTACATTCACATCATGACAGCATCTCCGTTTCTCTGCAGCTTGCTTAAATCTCCGCAGCACAAAAAAGAAGAGACAGAGATACAGAAACAAATAGAAACAGAAAGAAAGGTATCAGGTAGACACACTATTGAGCCTGTATGAGTCATCTGACTGCGGTCGTGTCGGGGCAGAACATGCGGTTTGAGCACGCACCGACACATTCTGCTGTAAGACTATGGTATGTTAGAGCAACGAAGGGTCATTGATCAGTTTGCCCTCAGTCTCAACCACAGGGACGTTAGACTCTAAAAGTGAGGACTGAAGGGTGAGTGGACCTCCAAACACAAAATGGATCAAATTAAAAAGTCTCTAAATGTTCATAAACATGTTGCAGGTACACCTCTGTGTTTAAGCTGTTTGAGGCCCGGTTGGACTCTGGTGTCGTTACACGTTGAGAGTGTGTACCTGTTTGACCTCAGCTTGTAGGTGCCTTAACTGGACACACTGCTCCAGGTGTCTCCGGTGATGCTCGGCTGCCAGGTCCAACTCCTGCTGCTTCTCGTGAAGAAACTCCAGCAGGTCCTGAACCCGGGTCGCCATGTCCACGTCTCTGTCGCACAACAGCTCAACACCTGGAACAAGAGTACCGCACACGGCAGGTTACACGACCGCCGACAAATAATTATACAGTAATCTATAGGACAGGCCCGGACCAAAAAATACTTTGTGTGACCTTTGGTATGGACACATGGACGGAGACTATGTCCACCTGTCAACGGTAAAACATGTAAAAAGTAGACATTTAAAAAACATTGTTAGAGACCCATCCAGGTTCCTAAAAGGGCCTTAAAATGTGTTTCTCATTCATGCACACTCATACAATTCTATCTAATATTAATGTTTTTATTGTTTTACTCAAAAAGGCCCAAAAACCTAGTAGGGGCAGATAGGGGTCCAGAGTCTTGCCCAATGGCACTCCAGCAGCAGGTCTGAGGATCAAATCTCTTTACCTCTGACTGAACTCTACCACAGGAACAAGAAGTACTTCGATGGTCCCCAGTCCCTGAGGGATTTGAACAGTGAATGTTTGTAGTTTTGGAGATGAGTGTTTTCTTGGACTGGAACTGAACAGTGAGTGCACATAAACCTAAATGTTTTTGGTGAAAAATACACAAGTGTGTAGGAGTCACACTGTGGAGAAGAACAGAGGGAGGTGTTTTTTGCTTGTCCAAGGCCATGCAGAGTGACAGACCCTGGAGAGTGGAGGGAGCCATTTTATCCACCTCCAGGTGCAGTGGTGGAGCCAGCGAGAGGCCAACAGTGGCCTTGGCCCCCATAGATTAATCTTTGGCCACCCCAATAATTTGAGGTAACTTTACTTGTAAGCAATATAAAAACTAAAAAGCATAGTTTTCTCAAAAGAAATGGGTTGTCAGTTTACTTATATTTATTGTGGTGGCCATCTTTGATTTTAATGTGGCAAACCAATTTTGGATAGAGACCTTCCTTACACCTTGTTGCAGCCACACTGTAGGAGTTCTAGGATTTTCTTCCTACTGCTCCTCTACACTGATTGACACCAATGGATACACACCCGTGAGAGGTTGGGGTATAAATGGCAGTGATGACTCCTATCTGACGCAGGTGCATTGTCTGCCTTATGGTAGTTGTGTTCCTGCCTGGCCACTATTGTGTTCCTAGCATTTATTGCAAAGACCTATTCCTTGCTCCTGTGTCTTTCAGTATTCTCCTGTGTTCCCTCGACACACCTCCTTGTTTCCTTTGTGGATCTACTGGTGTTCTTTTCGGCTGCTCCTTGCCTTCCCCACTTGCCCACCATACATGTAATCTCCCTGGGACCTCCATTGGAACCTTTGGACCCTCATCCCTATGAGTTTACAATCTTCTCCTAGAGTATGCTGCCTGCAATTATCAGAACGACCTGCAACCCAACTTATCCCTGTACTACAGTAACTGTCCTCCTTGCTCTCCAGGGTTTCAGTCTCTCCCACTCAGGTTGCAGTTTTACTGTTGACTTTACTTCACATTTTGTAAATAAACACTGTTACTATATTACGTGTCTTGGAGTTGCTCATTTTTAGTCACAGCTATTCTGGGTATTAGTAAAACCTCACACACACACACCAACATGGAGGTTGGTATAACAGTTATTTTTTACATTATCAAGCTCACAACATGCACGGACGGATGGAGAGTATTTCCAATTCCCTCTTTTTAATATCGACAGGGGGGAATAAAGCTGCCGCAAGTTAAAAGTATTTTTTCTATTTGTACATACCTTTCCTTCTTTTGATTTTTGAAAATGTTTATTGAATGTTAATCATTTTGTTTTGATGAGTGTTCATGTTAAGTGATTGCTGTGATGTTGCTCCCATCTGCTTTAAAGCTGTTTCAATATAAAGGAAGAAGTTCAGTATAAAATATTTGTTCATCGATCTACAGAACCCAGCAGGAGCTTTAACTGAATGAATGCAACTTTTGAGTTTTATAAAAAATTTATGAAAGCATGAAAAAAAGTTACTTCTAACAACAAATCCTTCCAAGTAAGTAACTGATGTTGTAGAGGAGTTTTCTCCAATGACCTATGAGAACAAACCGTGTTTACATTTAATTTATATTTGTATGGCTGTGCTGTTAAAACATGAGCTGCATAACCAGCCTGGTGCAGGATTATCAGCTGGAACAACAAACAGAGAAGACATAATTAACAAAAACAAATAACTTTTATCATTTGAGCAACAATAATCAGCCAGAAGTGTGAACATCTTGTATGTGTCCATTCCCCACGTTTAAGGCTGAAGCAGAGCACAGATAAAGAGCATCTACTGTACATTCAGGAGGTGGTTCTGGTCCGTCCCTCACCTGAGGCTTGGACCTCGGTGACGTACTGCAGCAGCTCCTGTCCCTGGTGGATGACGTCGAAGGTGAGGTTGTTCATGGTGAGAGCTTTGTCTGCATGATGCTGGAGCCTCTGCTCAGCTAGAGTCAGATCCTCGGTGTCGAAGTCGTTCGTCTGCTTGGTCAGCTCCTCGTTCCATGACTCCAGGTCTGAGATGACCTAAATGAGCAAGAAATGGTTCCAGAAGACAAAGACAGAAAGAATGGTTAATAAAGAAGATGAGAGGGGGAAACACTTCTAATGTTAAAGACAGAAATCACAAAGTCTGATTTTTTTTAGATGTAAATGAGACGTTCTGCTCTTCATTTATTCTCATAATTTGAAAAAGATAAAGGGTTTGAGCTAAAGACATGGATTCAAATGGACCATATAACCTGGTCCCAGTCATTAGACTATTGTTATTTTTAATACCAGCTCAGGCAGCTGACTCCCAAAGAGGCAGATAACTTATTGAAGTGGTACGGCTCAGCTGGAGGAGCAGATGCACTGCCTGCCCACGCTGCCTAAACCATGACACCAGGAACCACTCAGCTCTGTCTCTCAGGGGTTCTTCAGTTCTTCTCTTCTAGGTCCAGTTTTATACAAGTTGTCACATCTTTTATCTAGGACTGGGCAAGAGTAAAATATATCTTCATGTCAGAGCTGTGCCATTTGTAGAGATAAAACCAGGAAACACGAGAAGCACGGCCCAACGAGTGTTTAACTGCATCAGTAATGAAAGTGTTAGCTTCTGCTTTACAAACTAATATTTTGTGTTTGAGAAGAGTTCTGCCTGTGAAGAAAGTAAAAAGTAAAGGACTGAAAAGTTTGCAAATGAGCAACTAAACTAGAGAAAATACAATTTCTGCAAATATCCAGCGTGCTGGGTGGAACATACGTGCTGAAATTTGTTAAAGAAAGGTTCTACCTGAACTTTTTTTTTTCATTTACCCTTTATTTATACAGGTAGTCTCAATGAGCCACGAGAACTCATTTTCAAGAGAGACCTGTTTAGGGAGCAGATGGTGGGGGTTAAGAGCCTTGCTCATGGGCCCAGAGTGGGGCGAACGAGGGAGGTGTGGGTGTTTCACCTTTTCCACCCACATTTTGATGTTGATGGTACTGGGAGGTGAACCTGTGACTTTCCAATCACAGGCCCATCTTCTAACCTCTGCGCCACCACTCCCCCTAAAACCAGGTCAAAGATATTCACTTAACCTCAGTAAAAAAGGGTCAGGGATAATCAGAGCTTCTGTAAACAAAGGTCAAAGATAACCTATTAGTGGATATAGGGACTTCAGCCCACAAATTGTAAAATTAAAACAAGCAAATCAAAGCTAACAACAGCAAAACAATATCTAAAAGCTGGAATTACTATAACTTAAGCTTATACTGTAGCTAAAAACTAAAAATAGCTAAATAGTGGCTAAAAATACCACATTTACAAGGCTATAGAGAAAAATCAAAATTTGCTAAAATTAAACTGTGGCTTAAATTTTAGCTAAAAGCTAAAATAATTAAACCAGTAGCTAAAAGTTAAAATTAGCAAACCATAACTAAAAACTAAAAGAATCAAAATACTAGCTAAAAGCTAAAATGATTAAACCAGAAGCCAAAAGCTAAAATTAGCAAAAGTGTAGCTTAAATTAATAATGATAATAATAATAATAATAATAATAATGAATTTAATTTGTAACGCACTTTACATTAATAAAAATCTCAAAGTGCTACAAAGTGCAACTAAAATCAATGATAAAATAAAAAAATTGTAGCTAAAAGCTAACATTTGCAACTCTATAGCTTAAACCATAGTAAATGTTGAGTCGATCAAATGTTTAGATTAAAGCTAAAATGATTAAACCTGTAGCTAAAAGTTAAAACGAGCAAAACTATAGCTTAAACCATGGTTAAAAACTAAAATAATCAAAGTACCAGCTAAAAGCTAAAATCAGACACAAAATAAAAAATTTGCAAAAGTGCAGCTTAAATTGTAGCTTAAAACTAATGTTTGTAAAACTGTTGCTGAAACCGCAGCTAAAAGTTGAGACGATCTAAAGTTTAGATAAAAGCTAAAACGATCAAACCAGTAGCTTAAACCATAGTTAAAGCTGGGTCGATCAAATGTTTAGATAAAAGCTAAAACGATTAAACCAGTAGCTAAAAGCTAAAAATAGCAAAAGTGTAGCTTAAATTGTAGCTAAAAGCTAAAATTAATAAAACTGTAGCTTAAACTGTAGTTAAAGCTGGGTCGATCAAATGTTTAGATAAAAGCTAAAATTATTAAACCAGTAGCTAAATGCTAAAATTAACAAAACTAAAGCTTAAACATGGATAAAAACTAAAATAATCAAAGTACAAGCTAAAAGCTAAAATCAGAAGCTCAAATAAAAATTAGCAAAAGTGTAGCTTAAATTGTTGCTAAAAGCTAATGTTTGAAAAACTGTAGCTTAAAGCGCAGCTAAAAGCAGAGATGATGAAATATTTAGATAAAGGCTAAAATGACTAAACCAGTACCTAAAAGGTAAAATTAGCAAAACTGCAGTTTAAACGAACCAAACAAAACCAAAAAACAGAAAAGCTGGAAAAAGAGAAATGATGAAGTTTGCATGTTTGTTATTATATATGAACAAAGACAGCCACAACAAAAGACGACTGATTCCTGAAAGTGAAGCTTGAAACTCTGATATTCTTAGCATACGTGCTGTGACTTTTGCCAATGTTTCCTCTGCATCAAATGAACACAGAGTCTGTCAACCCATGCAGATTCCTGATATATAATACTGCTAAACTTAAAAAAGAATTCAACAAACTCACCAAACACTCATTTGTCTGATCTCCTCTCCTCTTAAAGTTGAGTAAAACACCTTCTGTGTAAAAAAATACCATTTCCTTCATGTGTCGGACTAAAAGAACGATCCAGAGACAGTCTGAGGTGTGTGAAGCAACAGACAGGTGAGCATCAAAAAGGAAAGTAATAAAAATGAAGGTATGTCTCACCTAAACTGTGTCCTTACACACACTTCCAGTAATGTCAGTAGGACGTGTCATAACTCTAATTTACCTGAGAGTGTGGGAGCTGAGACTGAAGGGGAACAAATCCCTGCTCCGCCCATCTTCGTGCTCAAGCTCTGTGTCACAAGGATCAGTGTCTGTGAGTGTTTGTGGGTCTACTTCAGTGTTTTAATGTGAGATTAACAGATTTAACCACGTTCCCTGACCCAACATGCAGAGCTGGTACAGTTTTTTTTGGGACAAAACAGACACAACATGTACATTTGAAATGTTTAAATGGAGCAGGCATCATATCTGAGCACCAGCTGAGGAAAGCATCTCCTCTCACAGTGGGATGTTGCAGAAAAAGCTGCTCCAACGCAGTCGACTGCTGGTAGAACCAGCATGTGGACGTGACGCATCGAGTGGAGCTAAATGTTTATTTTAATGCAGCAAATGTGAGAGGATAGCTGTGAGCTCAGCCAAGCTTTAAACCAGCAGGACTAAATCTCCTTTTCATAGTCAATGGTCCGTTAGCTCAGACCCACTCTGATTTGTCCGTGTGCACCTAAAAGCATGTAACTGAGCCGCTTTACACGACTTAAAACAAAAACTTCTCCTGAAAAACAACTACTTATCATGACAAAGCCTCACTTTGGTTCCTACTCACATCTATTGCATCCCTCTCAAAGATCCGGAGCTGGAGGAAGAGCTCCAGTTTGATCTTCCTCTCCTGGAACAGCTCCTCCATCTGACCCTGGGCCTCGTCCAGCTGCTGCAGCACACTCTCTATGTGGGCCATGGAGCTGTTGTGAGGGGTCTTGTTGCTGGAGATAGCCGAGTCTCTGTAAACAAAGAACAAAGATAAACACAGATTATGTGCACACAAAGGTCAAAAGTATCCACTTAACCTCAGTAAACAAAGGTCAGAGATAACCATTGAGCCTCTGTAAACAAAGTCAAGTCAAGTAAACTTTATGTATAAAGCACATTTAAAACAGCAGCAGTTACCAAAGTGCTTAGGTCAAATATAAGCAGAGTTTCTGTAAACAAAGGTCAAAGATATTCACGTAACCTCAGTAAAAAAGGGTCAGAGATAATCACAGAGCTTCTGTAAAAAAAGGTCAGAGATAACCTATTAGTGGATATAGAGACTTCAGCCCACAAATTCCTGTGACATCCATTAAATTAAAATCTCCTGCTGCCCTTGGGTCAAATTCACCCAGGAAGCCTCAGGTCTACAACTAAAGGCTCCAGTATACTGCCGCGTATGGCCGTTCACGCGTACGTACGCGTGTACTGTACGGAGGGTTCAGACTTTGTACTCCAGCGTACACCCTGAGCAGCTGCAGAGCAGCTTCACAGAGAAGGGGCGTTTACCTTCGGGACAAATTGAGGTCGCCAATTGGTCATCTGCTGACACGCCTACTGGATTGATTGACAGGTCGGAAAAAATAAAAAAAAGCAAGCGCTGGCAGCCTCAGCCACAGCGGTGTTCTGTGTTTATATGTTGTTAATAAAAAGATATAAAAAATAAAAAAAAACAGAGAGCGCTGGCTCTACAGCCCACACATCAGACCAGCCCACCAGGAAATCTCCAGACCAGACCCTCCCGCAGCCACGCTGGACCTGAGTTTAATTCGCTCGTGACAAATTCCTTCATTTCTCACCATTTCAGTCATTGCATCAACGGAGGAGGAAGAGATCACTGCCTCTTGGCAAAAAAACAAAAGAAAAGGCCAGATCAGGGATGAAGAAGGGGAATTTAATACATTGGTGTCACAGTCCATCGCTGGGCAGTTTATTGTGCGACATCGCACACGCGTATGCGGTCGTAAAAATTTGAGCTTTGCATGGACATGCCCTGGGGGGTACGCTCGTACCTCTGCGTGCGTACGTACGTGCGTACCTCTGCGTATGGACGTACGCGGCAGTATACTGGGGGCTTAAGTGTGAATGAGAGTGTGGATGGTTGTCTCATTTGTCTCTCTGTGTCCCTGTGATGGACTGGACACTTAAATATTGTTAAATTGACAGAGTTATAGTCATTTTTGTTGACTATACTCATTCACCTGAGCTGCTGTATGAGGTCCTCTCCCTCCTTGATGACGTTGACTGTCGCCTGCAGGGTAGTCTGCTGCTGCTGGCCGAATCGCTTGATCAGGTCCTGCACGGCTTCCACGGACTCAGCGTACACGTCATCCAGCAGCTCCTTCTGCAGCTCCTCCAACCACGTCCACAGCTAATACAGGAAAAACTGAAAAGTTACTGTGACCTCCAGGAGAAGCCCAGGCTGTTATTTTCCCTGCCGAGGGGAAAAATAAAGGATCTTCCCAAGACACCTGCTTATACTGAGTAAAGGAGATCTACAGTGATGTGGTTTAAACCCAGATTAATACACTAAAGCTACAAAATAGACAGTCAATCTGCTGCAAGATTAAGTTTTGTCCTCTATGAAACACTTCAAACATCATGGTGAAGAGTCCTGAAGTTCTGGGCCATGACCTATGAGAAACCCTGGCCCCTAGGGTACACCTTTACCTTAGTCTGAGACAGTATTACCACAGTATCAAATCCATTAGTAAGACACAAATACTTCACTAAATAAGTAGGCAAACTAATATCAGTTCAATTTAAATCAGGTTTGAAAATAAAGTTATTGTGTGAATATGTACCATACTGATAAAGCCTAGATCCGTTTTTCTTTTGTATACTTTTCAGCACGTAACTTGTTACGGAATTTTTGTGCTATTTCAGCAGTTCATATATCAAATAATATTAGCTCATCCACCCTGATAATGCTGATATGTCCCTTTTGATGCTAACTGTGCCCTGTTGATGCTAACTCTGCCTTAGCTTTTGCTAATTTTGCCCTGCCAATGCTATATCTGCCTTGTTTTTTTAAACTTGTATTCTGCCCTGGTCATGTTAGCTCTGACCTTTCTATCTATAAATCTATCATTCTGTCTAAAAACACTGCTTGTGGTAATGCTAATTCTACTAAAGCTAGCTCTAGTAATGCTAATTCTGTTAATTGACCTCTATCAGGCTTTTTGCTAGTGCTTTGTTACTTTTAAATGGTAAATGGACTATACTTATATAGCGCCTTTCTATCTTATCAAGACTCTCAAAGCTCTTTACACTACAATCTGTGTCCTCATTTACCCATTCATACAGCACTCTACTACATCTCTACAAAGCTAATTGAACAAATCATTCTAAAGAGACTGAGTGCTTTAGATCACATTCATACACCGATGGGACACACAAAGGAGGCAATGAGGGGTTCAGTGTCTTGCCCAGGGACACTTCAACATGTGGCTGCTGGTGGATTCGAACCCCCAACTCTTGCATTGGAGGACAACTGCTCTAACCACTCAGCCACAGCCGCCCACTAGCATTTATCTAGTTTATTCTAATGTTCTACTAGCTTTTCAAAATTTTTACTTCTTAACTAGTGTTTCGCCGTTTACTGACGTTTTGCTACTTCTGGCTCTTATCTGGTATATTCCTGATTTTTTTTCTAGTGTTTCACTACGATTAGCTAGCATTTTCCTGTGTATTGCTAGCTTTTTACTACCTCTTCCGTTTTTCATGCTCATTTCAGCTTCTATTTTGTTATTTTCAGCTTCTTCTGCTCTTTTTAGCCTTTGTTTATTGACAAATTCAAACAATTTATAATTATTTTTCCTCCATTGTTGCTTTTTTTTGGTTTTGCTTCTTTCAACTTCATCTTACTGATTTTAGCTTTTAATATATTTCAAGTAAGCTTTAGCTTGCTTTAGCAGCTTTCAACAAAATCATTCAGCAACAAGCATTCACCATGTATTTTCTCAGAAAACACACATTTTTCCAGTTCTAATTTATTGACCATATGGTTGATTTTTTTGGGTCAGTCTCATAAAAATCTGTACAGATAAATTTATTTTCATGCCCTGAACAACCTGATATGTTTAACTGGAACCAATTAGTGCAGCAGAACTGGGATTAACGTGACATCTTTGCAGCACATAGTTTTTCTTTGAGGATTCAGTTTAATTTCAGAGGGAGAAAAACATGGTTGTGATTATGGAAGTTAAGAAGAGAGCAGGTGAAGTGAGAGGGTCTTTAATTTGTGCAAACAGGGTTTGATTATAGAGGCAAAAGAAAAACAGAAGATGGTGCAGGTTTACAAACACTAACACATTGTTTGGGTCCGTGGCCCGGTTGGTGTACGTACACGGCTTTGATTACTGAAAACACACGTGAGGATCTGAAATGACGCCATCATTCTGCAAAACATTGTGCTGCTAAAACCTTTTTCTGCTTCTGCTGCAAGATGCATGGATCACAAGTTTCCTCATTTCTTCTCATGCTGAACTTCAAGCAAACCATGAACTACGATCTAAAATTGATCATATATTTTAATTATATACAGTATATACATACACATTTGCATTTTAACAATTAAAAAAAGTAGAATGTCCTGCCTTTTTGCATAAAATATGAGTTTATGATTGTGGAGAAACGTGACAAATCCAATAAAGTTCAGTTAGGTCATCTGGACGGTTTATTTATTTACTGTATGTTTGTTGAGAAGTTTCGTCCTTCATCCAAAGGACTTCATCAGTCCGAGGAGCCACAACAAACTCAGTCCCACAAGCAGCTGAGTTTGTTGTGGCTCCTCGGACTGATGAAGTCCTTTGGATGAAGCATCTCAACAACAACAAAATCATCCAGATAATCTGACTGAACCTTGATGGATTTTTTTTAACCTGGATTATTGGGCATGAACTTTAAAAGTGACAAAAGTTTTTGCCTTTCATTTTTTTTAATTATCAAAGAGTTCAACACTAATAAAAACTCTTTTTTCACAGGTCGTTAAGCTGATGGTTCTCCTTCATCGTGTGAACGACTAGTTCTGAATGTCAACAACAAACTGGTTGATCCACTATGAGAAGGTGCTGTTTATAAAACTGAGTTTACTACAGCTAATCAGACTGATGAAGTCTTTTGGATTAAAGACAAAACTAAACAATTTTTATTGTTTTATTTTTTACTTTTTGGATCCGTCCAGAGGACCTGACTTAACTTTGTTAGATTTTTCTACCTGGATTATTGAGCATGCATCAGGATCCTCTTTCTCAGGTGTCGAGCTCATTGATTTTAAACTAAATCCATCTGATTCTGCTCCAGGTGAGGAACGGAGACAGGGAGTAGATACCTCTTTAACATGTGTGTGAAAGGCGACAGACATGTCGAGCAGAACCTTCCGCTGCTCGACGCGTCGCACAAAGTCCTGGATGCGGTCCTCCAGCTGGTGGGCAGCCTGGTAGATCTCCTCCGGGTCACACTCTCCGGTTTGGGCCAGCTGCTCCGCTGCCTCTAGCAGCTTGTCAGCGTTGGTGTAGGTGTTCTGAAGTCCAAACAGAGGAGGTTATCTCTAACTCCTCGGGGTTACATCTACCAAATCGAACTTGAGACAAATATGAAAAACCCACTTGTGCAACTTCTTCAAAGTCTTCATGTCTCTTCTGCAGAGCCCTGGCTCTGTGCAAAGACTTGCCAACACCAGTGTGTTTGCTGAGGAAGGCCTCTCCGTGGTTTTCTATCCAGTCCAAAACCTTAAAACACACAAAAACACAGCATATACACAAAATGTTAAACACATGAACAAGACTAACGATCAGCTGCAGTTTGTGCGTTTAATCAGTAGGTGGCAGGATTGATTAAAGCGGCTGTTCAGAGCAATTTATATATGTAATATTCCTCATCTTGCTCCCTCCATCTGCATTCTGTCATAAATAAACTATAAGGCAGGAACAGTTAGTAGGAAATGTGCAGAAATTAAACATGGGGGTTTGAAAAGCAACAAATCTTCCTAACTGATAACCTGACATCTATCAGACAGACAGGCACGCCATCTCTGTCAGTGTGGGGGGATGAAAGGGGTTTTCAAGGTCTCTGAGAGAATATTTTCATGGGAACATGAAGCCATGTGCAGTGCACCCCCACACTTTGTGTGACAGTAAATTGCGACAGTACCACAAGAGAAGGGTGATGAAAGAGTGGATGGAAGTGGGGAAAGACAGACACTTCAGCAGGACAGAGTCATGTTTATAATACAGGAATCCTTGCATCATTGCACAGGTTGGTTTCTAAATGTCTCTCTGGAAAACCGATTTCTAAAACCCACATAGAAGCTGCGTGGAAGGAAGAGGACAGAGCTTTGTGCAGCCTCTCTTGTCGTGTTCAAATCAGAACCCTGTGCCGGAGCTCCTATGGAAGCAGGTTTTCTGTGTCTCACCTGCTGAACGTCCTGCTGAAAGACACACAGCTGCAGACGCTGGTGCAGGCGCACTTTGCGATGCTGCCAGATGTTCTCCAGCTGCCTCTGGTGATGCAACACCTCGTGAATGATGTCGAGGACGTGGTGCACGGCCTTGGAGTAGTTGGCCGACGCCATGAGTGAATCGGCACTTCCTGGGGTCAAAGGTCGCTGCAGTTTGTCCAGCAGAGACTTCCCGTCTTGGCTTACCTGGAAAAGGTTTGATGTGCAGTGGTTTTTATGTTGTAAAATTTAAATTGTTCAACGAACCAAACATTGTGCATGCATGTTCAGAATGCTTCATTTGAATATTTATCAACTGTGTTTTTGTTCTATGAAGATTTAGCATTAGTATTTGTTTGTAACCCTGAGCTTTGCATGGGTGTGAGTCTGCCTTTGTGCTTCCATGGGTGTAGCACTGACCTCAGAGTATGCAGTGGTGATGTGCTCATACAGGCCCTGGTGATGGTGGATTGTATCTTCTAGATCCTGGAGTTCAGAGGGCAGCTCTCCTTCACCACAGGCTTTACACCATGGCTCCACTTTGCTCATGTACTAAAACAACAACACAAACCATGAGGGACTCACAACAACAGATAACACATCCTTCACATGATGTTAACACAAAGAAAAATAACATAAGCTAGGTTTTCTGTACCCCATTCATACCAGAAATCAAAATTCAGATCTTAACCGTGTTCCTGTTACAAGTTCATAATAAAGTTAGCGATTTGAGCCAATAAGAATGAATTTCTCTGCATTCAGATTCCTCACACAGGCGTTACAGGACTAGGTGTGCAACTGATTTAATCGATACAAACTGAGACACGTGACAAACAAACTTTATTACTGCAGCTAGCACAACTTTTCATGCATGAGGTAGACATGTTAGAGTTCGAGGTCATGAATCTCTAGCTTTCAGAGTTGGAATAAAACCTGGAAATTCTGACTTCTGAAAAAAAAAAGCAATATTTTGAAAATAACTGTACAAAATTGACATGAAAAAATGGGGGAAATGTGCACACGTCTCAGAAACACTTTGATTATTCACTCTAAAACATAAAAAAGCTTCACATTACTGAAGCCTACTGATGTAAGATTGCATTGTTTTAATCTAACCTGCAACACACTTCTGTGTGGTTCCTTTGGTAACAACAGACAACAGTAAGTTACAAGAAACTCTTGATCATCAAAAAGTATCAAGAAAGTAAGTGACTCATCGCCAACAACTATCTGCAGATGTAAGCAAAGCAACAGAAAAGCAGTATTGATTCTTCTAATGGTCTTTAGGACTCTTTGTAAACACCACCTGGGCCGTTTTTTTCAATTAACAGGTTTTTACAACAACACAGCCATGTGATTTTATTATTGTCTTACATAAACTCAAAATGCTGCAGTTAACTTTTGTCTGCGCATTAATTCAATAATACTGTACACACACTTAGAAATGTCTCAGATTGTTCAGAATAAAATATTTTTCAAGTCCAACACCCACCATTACAGTGCTCTAAAGAGCTAATCACTGTTAAAAAATATGATGGTTATGTTTTTTTTTGTTTTTTTTATCACATTCAAGTGATAAAAAAAACAAAAACTGGGCACAGGCAGGAGCCTGTATTCACAGGCAAGAGTGCATTCATAGAAAGGAGTGCGACCCTTGGTGCACTCTTTCTCTCGTTCCTCTTCTACAACAAATAATGGATCTCCCACTGCCTCATCGAAGTCCTCCCTCTGTCTCAGACTCTGTTTTTCTTTTCAGCTCTTCCTCTTCCTCTTCTGTCTGAGAAGGTTCTGACTCTGCAGCTCCATCCATGTGTGGGTCCACAGCTCAATCCACCACCTCAAACAGAAGCTGCAGTGTCACATTCAAAAATTACCTCATTGTTTTGACTCAAACTCACTCAAATGACTAAAACTAAACACTACACCCTAACTATGAAATCTAAGCATGCTAGATCTTCCAAATCTCATCACTCACTCTCACTGTCTCTATCACCACCGAACTTGCTTCAACTTCCTCATCTTTTTTTTGTTCCTGTACATTTTTTTGGCGCTTGACAAATAAATTTCAGCCTCAGTCAGAAAGGAGGAGGAGGTTGTTTCTTTGTTTGGTGGGAGTGGGGAATGTTTTCTCCATGAGACTGCCCTTCTTTGCAGCTGCCTCAATGAAAATCTGGTGGTCTCCCATGATCGGGCCCCTGGCATGACATCACAGCCCATATATGGAAGTGAAGGGGCTGTTTCTAAAGCCACAACTGAAACAGCTTGAAATATCACAAAAACGTCATATTTAAAACCAACAAAACTTTTCAACATTTGCCACAGAACAGACGTATTTATTTGTTATGTCTCTGTCATATTTCAGTGGATATGTAAAAATAAAAAATGGTGGGTGTTGGACTTTAACATGTGGGCAGGCGGGCTTTTCTTTGAGTATTTACAGGCAGCAGACATGTTTTAACTTTGATTGATCTGCTGACTTCCTGTGTACCTGATCTGCCTTCTGATGGAAGCTGGCAGACATCTCCAGCAGAGTGCTGCGTTCGTCCAGCGCCGCAGCAAACGCCTTCCACTCCTGCTCCAGCTGACCCGAGATCTGCTGGATCTGCTGCGAGGCGTAGTGGCCCGACTCCAGGAGACGGTTCCCAACAGACATGATTCGATTGATGTTCACGTACACATTCTGGAGTTTGAAAAGGACAAAGAAGCAAAAAAAAAAAATAATCACGTAAAAATAAAACTTTTTTCTTTATATTTAGTTTTTAAACTACAGTACTCCCATTTCTCGCAGACAAGTAAACCTCTGCCCTTGTCTACTTCTAAGAGATTCAGCCTCTCTCAAAGTCTCTTTAAAAACCCAGTCCAGACCTGCTGCTAATTAACCTGTTGACTTTTGTTGCTGCCATAAAATTCAATATTACTTTATTTTTGCCTAAAATTAACACTGTTTCTTAATTTAAACATTTGAGATGGTTATTACTGCATGTTCTATTGGAGGAAATTCGATTTATAGGATTTAAAAACCTGTTTCATTTACAGTGTCCTAGCTTTTTAGAACTGGATTTGCTCTGGCTGTCCATGTGATTTTATTGATACAACAGCCTGTCCAGACAAATTAGCAGGAAAATGACCGATGTTAGGTTTTGTGGAGCCTGATGCATGAAGCCTCTGCAGTTTTCCAACAGCCAAGATGACTGTGGTTCTACAAAACAACTAAAGAGTGTGTGAAGTATGAAGGTCACAAGTGCAATCAAATAGACAAGTTAAAGCGAATAACACCCACCTTTGGGGACATTAAAAAGGCATTCTCTGGATCAGTTGGACAGCAAACCTCATGTGATTCATAAAAAAGGCCTTTAAGCTTCTAATCTTTTATTCTTTTTTATTTAAATGTAGAAGCTTCAAGCTGTTTTGTGCAGATAGAAATGAGCAAACGCTAATTACCAACTGTGTTAACATTCTGTTATATTTCTCTTTAATTATTGCTCCTTTGCGGCTCTTAGTTTGTTTTAATCACAACAGGAAGAGAATACGAGTTAAAGCCCCAAAACAGAAAAAAAGACTGTAGTGACAGAAATTAGGAAATCCAATCAGAACTTCAGCTGCTGAGAGTTTGTTTTATTTAAAACTACAAGTCTATGAGTTTTTTTGGTTTATTTATACACACACATACATATATATATATATATATATATATATATATATATATATATATATATATATATGAAGAGCTTTATTTGTATTTGTTTTGTAAGAGGATACAACAAAAAGGCAACTATGAAAAGTTCAAAATAATCAGATTTCAGTGACACTCTTGTGTGTTGAAGAATGGGAGTTAAAGTACTTTTACAACAGACAGCTGTTAATAATCCCATTAAAAATGTTTAACCAAAGTGTACTGACACATGACAACTACAACAGCTGTAATGTTGTTATTTACCCCAGAATATTATCTTTAATTTTGTAAAAATAAATAAAAAATATTGCAAGAAAAAAAGAGCTTCAAACTAGGACGGAGCTTTAGGGCCATGCTAAAAAAAATAGAAAAATAAAATAAAAATAATTAAAGCCATAAAATTACGAGAACAAAGTCTAACAAAGTCTTAATATTACGAGAATAAAGTTGTACAAGACTTTTTTTTTTTGCAGCTCTCGTGTATGTATTTATATTTTTCCACGAGTCAGATCCACAAAGCAACCTGTCAATCAATCCAGTAGGCGTGTCAGCAAATGACCAATTCAAAGCTAAATGAGTCATAACATTATCCAAACTCTGACACGATAAAGCAGGTTTACCGCATTTTAACAGGTAAAATAAAGAATGTTGAGCATCTTGTTAAGTTATACTTTGGTATTGGTTTTACAAATAAGGAGACAATTAATCTGTTAGCACATCAGCATCAGATTATTATCAGTATCAAGACTTTGAACCTGCTTACAGTAAGGTGGTACACTCTGATGGGCTGCAGCGCTGCTCTGCAGGTAAGGAGCATTTAGCTTCAGATTAGTCATTGACAGGTTGCGTTGTGGATCCGACTCATGGAAATAAATAAATAAATGAGAGCTGGCAAAAAAAAAAAAAGAAGTCTCGTACGACTTTATTCTCATAATATTAAGACTTTATTCGACTTTATTCTCGTAATTTTTTGGCTTTTTTTTTTTTTCTTTTGCGTGGCCCTAAAGCTACGTCATATTTAACACATGTAATCACATGCATGCAAACAAACATTTTTTTGTGTTTTTTTTTTTTGTGTGTGTGTGTGTGTGGGGGGTGGGGGGGATGGCTGAACATATAGACATACATAAACATAAAGACAAGCAAAGGCTGAATAAACATTTTTTAAATACACCCACTTATGTTTTACCGTATTTTCAGACTATGAGGCACACTTAAAATCCTTTAATTGTCTAAAAAAATCGACAGTGAGCCTTATAATCCGGTGCGTCTTACATATTAATTCTGGTTGTGCTTACAGACCTCAAACTGGTTTTATGTGGTACAACTGAACAATGTTGAGAGTTATTGTGAATGAGTTAAATAAAGTTTGACTTATCTGAATGTTTTGTTTCGCTTATTGCGACTTATAGTCCAAAAAATATGGTAACTCCATCTCCATCTTCTACCTCTTATCTGTAGTCGGGTCACAGAGCCAACAGGTCCAGGAGAGAAACCCAGACCTCCTTCTCCCCGGGTACACTCTCTAGCTCTTCTTGGGGCACCTTGAGGTGTTCACAGACCAGAGAAGATACACAATCTCCCCACAGAGATCTGGGCCTGCCCCGGGGCCTCCTATCAGTAGGACTCGCTCGGAAAACCTCCAAAGGGAGGCGTCCAGGAGGTATCCTGATCAGATGAACCTCCACAGCTGACTCCTTTCAGTGCAGAGGAGAAGCAGCTCTATTCCAAGCTCCCCCCGATGACAGAGCTCCTCAACTCATTTCTAAGGCTGAACTGCTCCATCTAGCTCATTTGGATCCAGGATCTGGTCCTTTCAGTCGTGATTCAGCCCTCATGACCACAGGTGAGGGTTGGAACAAATACAAACCAGTGAATTCATAGATTTGTCTTTTAACTGAACTCTTTATTCACCACAACTGACTGAAGCAACACCCTCATTACTGAGGACGAGGCCATGATCCGTGGATCCATCTCCCGTTCCATCCTACCATCATTCAGGAACAAGATGTCCAGATATTTGAACTCCTCCCCATGAGGCGAAGACTCCACCTGACCCGTAGGGTCACATTTTTATATGAGCTAAAAATATTTATCTGCTTACCTAACAGCTGAACTTTTCCTTCAATAAAGCCATGACATTCAGCGTTTCTGCTTCATAAAGACAAGTCACCAGAACAACATCAAGCGCAGCTTTGAATAGACTTATCTCACAGATCTGTTACCTAGCAGCCAGTTTTCTGAGGTAACTGGAACAACCACTAATCTCTACAAATTATCTTCTTACATTCAAACTACAGGCAAATAATCCCAACACTTCCAGGCAAGGTCTATTGTTTTACTCCAGAGAACAAAGTGAGGATGGAAACTTGAAATCTGTTCATCGCTTCCCGTTTGGTACAAAATGATCCCTGCACCTCCCCGAGGCTGCAAAAAACATTTTCGTTTGGGGGTTCAGTCCACCTTCGTCAGTTCTTCTAATGGAACTGATACACATCGTTCCCTCCCACCGTGTCATTTGCATCTCCAGCACCCTCTGAAGTATTTTAGACACAACCAGCATCCCAACATGCAGACAGTAAAACAAGTCAAGAATGAAAATGCAGCAAGCAGCTGACAGTCCTGATAATGACTACATGGAAATGGACGCTGAGTGGTGGGAAGACAACAATGGGGACACTTATGAAAACAGAGACACGCTTGGTGTAGATATAGGCTGGAGAGGAGACCCGGAGGTGCTGAGCCCGGCCGCAGGAGGACAGAACAAAGACGTTAACAGGAGAGGCGCTCTGCCAACCAGAATTAACCCAAACACTGCTCAGTCTCCGCCCAAACAGTACGTCCCCATCAGACGATCCGCACCCAGGAAAAACAAAGGAGCTGGGAAACAAAAACTCGTAGGTAAGGCGCCTGGATTTATCCTAATAAATGATATCAGTGATGTTTTTCAATGTTCTCTTTTATTAGAGTTCTTCAGGTTCACCACGGTTCTGCTGGTGGTTCTGTGCAGCGCGCTGATCGTGTCGCTCATCGCTCTGAGTTTTGTCTGTGAGTCTCAACTTATTTTCTACAGCTTTTCTTCGAGCTTCCAAACCCAGCAGACATTTATTTTATCTATTTAAAGACACGCGGTACATTCCTGTGCTGAACACAGTCGACCAAGTTTTGCACACATTTTATGACACCATCAGACCAACACATTCATTGTTTTTTCATTTCAGTACATTTTCTAAATACTAGAAGTCAGAGGTTGATGTTTTGTGGTTGTTAGAAATGAAAACTGCTTCCTTTACGTCTTTTCCAAACAGATGACAGACTGGCTGGCATGCAAGCAGGCCTGACTGAGGAAATGAATATACTCATCCAGGAAAACGCTAAATTAACTGATGAAATTGGTAAGTAGTAAAAGTCTGAACTATTGTTTCTAATGTGAGAAGCAGAGTAAGCAATAATAAAAATGATTAAAATAAAGTACAAACCCCAGCGTTAATGAGTCTCAGAGTAGCTTTATGATCATATTTTCTCTTTGAAGGGACGCTGCAGAACCTGTCCCAGTCAGTTTACCACGTTTCCAGCACCGAGTACCCCGACTGTCTCTCTAGGAATGACCTGTTCGTCGTCAATCATCACGTTCTTCAGGTGAAAAAAAATGTGCAGCTTTCATTATCTGCATGCAACGTGTGAGGTTTTGAACAACTAACTTGATTTTGTCTGCCCTGACAGAAACACATGAAGATGAACTCGTTCTTTCTGTATCACGGCAGCATTTCTGACCAATCCTGCTCCAAGCAGTTCCCCTGGATTTGTTCGTGTTAGTCCACCTGAGCCCAGAAATGAAGCCAAACTAATCTGATCTAAACCTACAAACAGCCTCTGGGTCTGACATTAGAGCTTGGATGTTCTTTATTTATGAACAACATGATACCGTACACAGGTGCATTAAATGATTCCAAACGTGCCACATTTATCTTTGCTTTTAAACAATGTTTGTAATAAATGTGCAAACCGATGATGAGCAACTTAAAAGGGTCATAAACATTTAACTGGAGAAATTGAATTTCCTGTGAAAATGCAGTGTGAATGCTTATCGCTGAAGAACTTGCTGAAAAATAGCTGAAATTAGATTAAAAAAATGCTGAAATGGAGCTGAAATAGAAGAACAAGCCTAAGTTAGCAGAAGAAAGCTGAAAGAACACATTTTTGCTAAATTAGAGTTGAATAAGCAGAAATGAGCACAAAAAATAGTTAATTAGCTAAAAATGTTGAAATTAGCAAAAAATAGCTGAAAAGTAGCTGCAAAGGCATAAATAACCATAAACTACCAGGAGGAAGTGGAAAGAGCTGAAATGAGCTAAAAAGTTGGAATTAGTTGAAAAAGCTAAATTTAGCACAAAAGAGATAAAAAGTGGCTGAAATAACAGAAAAAGCTGAAACTAGCAGGAAAAAGTTGAAACTAAGAAAAAACGCTGAAAGCTGCTGAAATTAGCAGAAAGAAGTTAATTAGGCTGAAAGTAGCAGAAGTTATCTAAAATAACTAGAATTTATATGGAAACAGCTGAAATTAGCTGAAAAATGCTTAAATGCTAAAAAATGTAGCTGAAAAAGTAGAACAAGCTTAAATTAGCAGAAGAAAGCAGAAACATGTTTACACAATAAGACTGAAAGAAGCAGAAATGAGCACTAAAAAGTGGATATTATCTGAAAAAGGCTGAAATTAGCAACAAAAAACAGCTGTAAAGTAGCTTAAAGTTTCTAAAAGAAGCTTACATTACCAGAAGGAAGTGGAGAGCACATTTTTGCTGAATTAGGCTGAAAAAAGTTGAAATGGGTGCACAAAATGTGGAATTAGATGAAAAAGCTAAAATTAGCATAAAAACTGTTAAATAACTAAAATAGCAGAAAAAGCTGAAACGTGCAGAAATGAACTGAAAGAAGCATAACAAGCTGAAATTAGCAGAAAGAAGTTAGAAGAAGCTCAAAAATGTTGTAGTTACAGTGTTTCCCCTAGTTAACTTGCCATGGCGGGGTGCTCATCTCATCCATCATTTTTGATGACAGGGGGACGGACACATGTCTGAGTGCAGATTGTGCTAACAGTTTTTGAGTGGGGGCGGGGGGCTTCAGCATGAGGGAAAAGGCAATGTGAGTGCTGCCTTTAGTTTTTAGTTAGAGAGCCTGTATTTCGCACCGCTAGCTTAGTGCTATGTCAGTGCCGGGTGGGTGGGTGTGGGTGCAATTTGGTTTGGTAGGCAGGGTGCTCAGTTCTGTTGACGGGGTGGAGCACCCCACTTGTATAATGGTAGGGGAAACACTGAGTTAGCCGAAATAATCTAAAAAGGAGCATAAAACAGCTGAAAATAGCTGAAAAAAGTTTACATTTGTGCAAGGAAGCTGAAAGAAGCTGAACCAAAACAAAATGTGAAAGGAGCAGTCAAAGGTTGTAAACAGATCTAAAGATATGAAACATGTAAAATGAGCTAAATTTATTTTCTATGAGAAAAAAATGGCTGAAAAGGCTAAATATTTCAAAAAGCTAAAGCTGCACTAATACCAAAAGTCAAAGCAGGATTGTCCTGAAGGAGCTGAACATTTTGATATATGATTTGTTGAAATAGCACAAAAATTGTGGAATGAGACAGATGCCGAAAAACGTCCGGAAGAAAAATGGATCACAGTGAACGCTTCATAAACATTCACACAATAATGATGCTGACTTAAGAATGTTGTAAAATGAATAAAGTTTTTTTTTCCTGATTTCTTTACTCATTCTGCCTATCAGAACTAGGTTAAGCTCAACAAACCAAATCAGCGCCATCTTAAAACAAAGTTTTTATTCAAAGTTACACCTAGGCTCACCCGTAACAATTTGAAATAATGCATGTACATGTAAAAGTTTGGAGTAAAGCAATGCTTCTTTATCTTTAAATAAGAACTTCCTACTTATTTAACGAGCAAATGAAGAAATCTGCAGTTCTACTGCCTTGTTAAAAAAAAAGTCTGTTTTTACAATTAAAATAAGTAAATAATTCATCCTAATGTATCTCCTAGTCCTAATGTAATGCACCAAAGTTTGATCCATCAGCTTCATTCCAGCACCAGACGCCTTGGATCGTGTAAAGTTCTGTTAGAGCAACTTGGACATTTACCAACATGTGCACATATGGAGCGGGTCCCGTAGGGGGCAGAGCGGTAACACCACTCCATGAAACAGTTCCTGCAGGAAGCTTTAATGACAAACAGGTCATCAGCAGCTGGTCTGCCACAGACCATGAGGAGAGGGACGTTTACCACACGTTGTCGATAAAACACGGAGAAATTAACCATCGCGCTCAGATAATTTTCCAAGCTAAGAATAATACACACCAGGTGACGCACACACACTTAAAAAGGGGGACTTCTCTTGTGTTTCTGCACAAACACACACGGTGTATTTCCACTCTGCTGTGTAAGAAACAGGAAAAGGAAATGCAGCTTCCTGTGGAAGAATGGGCGAAGGTGTGGCGGTCAGAGGAAACTTGACTGCGTGCATGGGTGTGTGCACGTGTGCAGCCTTTGCGAATACGTGCCACAACACCACATTAACGATCAGCCCTTTGCCATAAGTTAGTTGTTGACGTTAGCCTGGCGTCAACTCCTGCTGGTTTCTGATGAGGCACGGATCAGACTTACAGTTCTGACACCAGTGAAGCCAGCAGAGTCTTCAGGGGGTTGGGTAATGGTGGGTCGGGTCAGCTGGACTGTTGTTGTCTGACATAAACTCACCTCTTACAGCTTGGTTTACTGACCTACAGTAGTTCGGCATGACGGGTTGTTAAAGGAAAATATAAACAAAGGTCTGTCTTCAGCAGATTTTATTTCATTTTATTAGTATTACAATGAGTGCAGCATCAAGTTTGTTTTAAATTTGCTTTATAAATTAGTTTGATGTGATTTTTGTTGTCATATGATGATAAAAGAGGCAATAAAACTGCTGACTTAAACCTGACTAAATAAACAGGTACTGGGATGACAAACAGGAAGAACTGGGTCTTTGTAGCAACATTACAAGACTGAAGACTTTTGGTAAGAAATGTGAGAGTGCAACAATTTAAGACGACAAAAGACACAAGAACTCCTCAGCTGCATCATTAGTCACCAGCAAAACACTAAAAAATATTAAAAGAAACAAATATGGAACATGAAGGTGAGTTCTGGGAACTGATCCAGGACAAACGACAAAAAAACTAACCAGTACTTAAAAACTTTATGAGCAACTAACATCTTACCTGCTGTAGATAGCTCTGTGAACAGTTGGGAGAATCAGTTCATTTCTGACCAGTGTGGCGAGCTAAGGGCTAACCAGAGCGAGGATAAATACAAAGTGGTCCAATGACAAATTACAAATAAATAATAAAGTGCTATGTGTTGTCATCGTATGCTCCTATACAAAAACGAAATCGGTTCTCTGCATTTAACTCATCGCACCTGGGATACACCCAGGTGGAGCAGTGGGCAGCTATGTAAGCACCCGGGGAGTAAATCGGGATTAGGTGTCTTGCTCAGAGACACCACAAGATGGGCAATGACCGGGGATCGAACCCAGGACCTTTGGGTCCCGAGTCAGCTGCCCTGCCCCTTCACCATATGCAAACTGTTATAGCATTTAAAGGTTTATAAACTCAAGCATCCAGGTAAAAAACAAAACAGGTTAAATCGTCATTTGGACCAGTTTCTTTAAGTGAGAAATGTTTCGTCTTCCATCCAGAGGACTTTGTCAGTCTACGGCCTGCCAATCATTGATTGTTGTAAATGATGATTGATTGTTTTGGATGGATGTGTTTGCACGTGTTAAAACTCTACTTCTGAGATTTCAACAGGAGGTTGTCTTGAAACACAGCAGTGAAGGATACTTATGGGACAGATCTGGTTGGCAGGCCGCAGACTGACAAAGTCTTCTGGATGGGGGACGAAACGTTTCTCACTTAGACAAACTGGTCCAGATGACACGATTTAACCTTTTTTGTTGTCATAGCAGTTCTTGTAAAGGTGAATGGGTTTATGTGCCTATTTTTGATCCGGACCGAGTCAAAGACCGAGCCTTACCATGCAGTTCATAGCGAAGTGGTTGTGCTGCGTCTGCAACTCGACAGCGTGCTGGTGGTTCCCTCCGATCTCCGTGTAGCTGGTGAGGAAAAGCCCCTTGTTGTGCATGATCCAGTCGAACATCTGCACACACAACAGGTTTTCTAGGTGTTCAAAATAAATGCATTTCTTTACAGTTCATTTAAGTGTGCATAAGTGTCAATAAGAGTGTTAAAACACCATCTGACTAACTACACTTCCTAAAGGCTGAACCTAGGCTCCAAGTCTGTGATTTGTGGCGAGTGCTCTGACCTTCTCAGCGTCCTGCTCGAAGAGCCGCAGCTGGAAACACTGGTCCAGCTTCAGCTTCCTCATGTGCCACAGCTGCTGCAGATTCTGCCTCGTCCCGTGGAGCTTATCCAGCAAAGCTGTCACCTTAGCCACCAGGTTGTGCACGTCAGCGTGTTGCGCGTGGAGCCCGTGGTGGTGGTCATTGGAATCTCCGCTGGCTCCGACGCCTCGGTTACCGTAGCTGCCGTCCCCACCACCGGAGGTTTGCGACTGCAGCCTCTGGAGGAGCCGACGCCCCTGTGTGTCCAGCTCCTCAATGGAGGCCTTGGTGGCTCGTTTCTTCAGCCCGGCGTGCTCTTCCATGAGCCGCCGAGCACCCTCCAGGTCCCGCGGGAGGTCCCGCTGGGACAAGATCTCCTGGAGCTCCTCGAGGCGGGCCAAAGCCCGAGCCGCGTCACTGGCAAACGTCTCAAATGAAAGCCGCACCTGGAATGAAACGTGAAACGATTATAAAAATGTTACTGAATCAAATTTTACCAGAATAAATAAATGCGGCTCGAGGGCCATTTGTGGCACTTCAAGTGATTTTGTGGGGCCCATAAATTCAATATGAGAATAATATCATCTTGGCCCGCAGGTTTAAGACGTTGATGCAGATGTGGACCTTCTGCAAATTTAATGGTGATACTTTAAAAAAAAAGAACGTTTCACAGCAAAACAGGAAAAAACATCTAAAAATGAGTACCGGTAATATTAAATACATCACAAATACAAACCATTGGACATAATTAATGCTATACAAAATACTTTACTCTTTTTCATGGCACAAAGCATCACAAACCTTTACTGACTGCTGCCAAAAAGTAGACTTTTAGATAATCATTCATAAAACTTGGCTGAATAGAAAAGTGCTTTCAAAGAAAATAAATTGCTGTTAATTTAATAATTGCCGGAGGGAAAATGGACACGTTTAAAAGAATACAAAGTGGTGTCATCTACATACATTTGATCAATTTTATTAGTTTTCCTTCAAACCTTCTATGAGTCTGTTCTCGCCACGGCCAGCTGTACGAGATTTCACAACTGCGATCAGCCATTTGGGCCGTCCATGGTCCAAATGGCTGATCGACCACCTTTTTAGCGACGGTTTTTACAGTTTTATGCTTCTGTTTCTGAGAGTAAACTAAAACTAAATTTATGAGCACGAGAAAACAAAAGACAGCAGACCCAAAAATCAAATAAATTAAATTATTTTATTAAAAAATAATAAAGGTTAATGTTTCTGAGGCTTTTAAGGTCAATTTAGAATTCCTTCTCCACCAAAATTAGTACATGTTTTGTCCTTTAACCAATATATTGTTCAGGTTGTTGTTGAGAGTAAAAAAAAAAAAAGAAAAATGAAATTGACAAAAAAAAAAGTGTATTGGCTGTTTTAAAAAATATATATTACAAATTCACATTTTTGTGGCCGGCGAGTTCTTTCATCTGGACAGTTTTGTCCCCCATATGAAAAATTTTGGACAGCCCTGATCTAGATCAACATAAAACGGGGCAGAAAGAAGAGAAAGTTGTCAAACCTCGATCCATTCATCGTGGTTGTACTCTAAGCTGCCCTCGAAGTCGGCTGTCAGCTGGGAAGGATCCACAATCTTGGTCAAGCCCTCTAAGGACACCATCACCGTCTGGGGCCGGTAGACAAGCGTAGGACAAGTAAAATAATATAAAGAAAAATAAAACAACAGTTAGGTTGCAGAGAATGAGAGGAAAAAACAATTGAGAGTGAATGAAGGGAGGCAAAAAGTAAAATAATTCACAGAATTATCTCTTTTTTTTTAAACATTTCCATCAAATAAACCAAGGATCTGAGAAGAATGTGAAGAATCTGTGACTTCATGTCAGCTACTTGACTAGGGGTGTGGTGGAAAAAAAAACAAGAACGTTTGTGCTATTATTAAAAAGGGTAAAATACAAGAATATAAACTTGTAGAAAATTAAAACTAAATGTGCAGTGATTCAGGGAGGGTCAGCAGATGCAACAAAACCCCAAACAAACGGGAGGATTAAGAACCGGAGCTGCCATCGGATCGTGTTTTTATTGTAAATAACCAAAGAAATCTGCAGGAAAAAGGCCGAACTTTTAACGTTTGCATAACCCTGAGTTAATTCATCGTGGCAAACAGAAAGAAGTTTGGTTAAATGCCTCAACGATGCAGTTTGTTTGTGGTTCCTGTAATTTAATAAAGTCATGAACACTTACATTATTAATAAAAAATGCTAAAACCATGATTTACGGCTGTGAAGGAAGTCGACAAACAACAAGTTTATTCTCCAAAGGAACAAGACTAAATTTGGGATGCCCTATATATCCTGTGTCCATGGTAACTGGGTCAGAACTAAATATACCGGCTACACTCAGGACAGAACAGAACCTCTGTCACCATACAGCAGTCCAGTTAGAGCTGATTGCTGTTCTAAACAACACATCTGAAGTGTTTATCTGAAAAACAGAACGCTAAAACATCTGCCGGAGAAAGAAACAAATGAGAGAAATAATTCAAGTTCAGCTTTACTGTCAAACAACGACTACAAAACTATAAATGTTCACTTATTTATGGTAGAAATAGAGCATCGCCCACCTCAAATTCAAACTTGGAGCTGCCAAAGTTGGTCCTTTGCTTCTGCCAGAAGTTGTCTGGTTTGATGATGAGAGCAACGTGGATGCAGGACGGGAACGACTCCTGCAGGATTTTCAGTAACGGTTTGATGCCGTCCCACTTCGAACCACGCATGTCCACGATGACCGTGAAGCCGTGCCGGGCCACCTCCTCGCTGCAGAGCACAGAGACAAGGAGCCCGATTCCAGGTTAGGGAGGACAATGGACGAGAGGAAGACATGCGTCAAATAAGTGTTTTTCGCCATTCTAACTTAAAATTACAAAAAGTGTTTTTAACCAAAAAGTTAAAAGTTCCCTACAGAGGGAGAAGGACTGTTAACACATTTGAGGTAAAGTTTCCTGCTACTGTAAAAGCTCATAAACGGTTATTTCCCTGCTTTAATCTGACCGTGTCTCACTGGGACATTGAGACAAATGCTCCGTCTCACCGTGTCCTCACTCTGAAGACAGCAGTGACAGAACAGGTGGAGAAAACCAAGTTGAGAGGGGAGGGAAGAGGGTGAGGGACACAAAACATAAGCTGTGTCCCTATCGCTGAGGGATTTGAATAACGAATGTTTGTGGTTTTAGAGATGAGAGTTTTTCTGGACTGTTTTGAACAGGGAATGTAAGTAAACCTAAATGTTTTTGATGCAAGGTATCAAGTGGGGAGGGGTTACACTGTGGAGAAGAACAGAGGGAGGTGTTTTCTTTATTGTCCAAGGCAGCGCAGAGCGATGGATCCTGGAGAGCGGAGGGAGCAATTTTGTCCGCGACCAGGTGCAATGGAGGAGCCAGGGGGTGGCCAGCGGTGGCCTTGGCCCCCATAGATTCATCTTCAGCCGCCCCAATCATTTGAGAAAACTAAACTTTAAAGCAATGTAAAAATTAGAAAGCATAGTTTTCTCAAATGATCAAGGGGACCTGTTTACATATAAACATGGTGGTGGCCATCTTGGATTTTGATGTGGCAAACCAATCTTTCTCACACCTAGATGCAGGCACACACCAAAATGGAAGTTGGTACCTCATTTATTTTTCATGTTATCATGCTTACAATGTGCATGGACGAAAGATACCAGTATTTCCAAATCCCTCTCTTCGCTCCACAACAGGAGACATTTTTTTTAGCTATTTAAACCAAGAGGAGAGAACTAAATCTAGGGAAGTAAATCCATCAAACTACTTGAGAACACCTATCTGTCAAAAAAAGAAAACGGGATTGAAGCCTATTGTCTTTATTGACCTCTTAAAGTTGAGCTCAGTTATAGGGTTTACTCACAAATATCCATCCATCCATCCATTTTCTTTACCCGCTTGTTCCATTTTGGGTCACGGGGGTCGCCGGTGCCCATGTCCAGCAATCACTGTGCGAGGGGCGGGGTACACCCTGGACGGGTCACAAGTCCATCACAGGGACACATAGAGACAAACGAGACAAACAACCATTCACTCTCTCACTCACACCTATGGACAATTTAGAGTTACCAATCAGCCTAACATGCATGTTTTTGGTCTGTGGGAGGAAACCGGAGTACCCGGAGAAAACCCACGCATGCACGGAGAGAACATGCAAACTCCACCCAGAAAGGCCCCTGGACCGGGGTTTGAACCAGGGACCTGTTCGCTGAGAGGCAGCAGCTCTACCAGTTGCGCCACCGTGCTGCCTCACAAATATCATTAATCTTGAAGTTCAGATAAAGAAATGTGATATATGAGGCCTGACATATTCATAACAAACAAGTAAATATGTCTTTGGCATTTTAATATTGATACAATAGCCAAATGTAGACTTTTACTAATCAGAGTTAGTTTGCATTCAGATTTATTAGCAGCAGGTGAGAAGAGATTGAAGAATAAGGCCAAATAAGAAACTGATTATTTTTTTCCAGTCAATTCTTGGACCAAATAATTTTAAACCACCATTTGGAAAATCCTTTTGAGGCAAGAAAAATAAAAATGGATCCAAGCAAATCTGCAGAGCAGCAACCTCGTCTGCATGGTTGATGTGTAAAAATGTTTTTTGAACATCTTTGGGTGTTTATGTTCAGATTATTGTTATATTTTAATTCCAGGTAGGTGCATTCAGGGTGCAGAAGTGATCTACTTTGGCAGACGGCACAGGCAGAATAATGTTGAACATTTCATTTCATTTAAATTCAGCAAGTTTTTGTTTTACTTGTTATTTATCATATAAATCAATATATATTGGGATTATATATTGGACATCTTATTCTCTAATTATACAACATAAATATTAAAAATACATCACTAGAGCTAAAATTTATCATCATTAATTCATTATTCTGTTAATTTATAAAAAATAAGTCTTAGCTACCTAAAAAATGAAAACTGAACATTTACAGACATGCAAAGACGTGTGCAACCTACGGACCGAGGGCCAAAAGTGGCCCTTAGATAATCACCATCTGGTCCCAAATATTATCATTTAAAAACAAAACAACTTTTGAATAAGTTGATCAAAACCTGCCTTCTATTAATGGAAGTTATGAAAGTTTAAATAAACGATTTGGACAAATACATCAAAGACCTTTGGATTAAGATAGGCGAAAACAATTTTTTAAAAATCATGTTTCCAGAACCAGATGGAAATGTAAAGACTCTTAAAAGCAGACATATACCTTATTTTCTTTTTGCATATTTAACCTAACAAATATATTGTCACAAAATCCAAAACGTCTTATGAAAAGTGCGTCTTATATTCCTAAAGGATATAAAGGAGACATATTTTATCAAGAATGCTAACTATGCTACAACAAGAAAAATTAAAAATATTCCAGATTATCCGTCTTCAAGAATATTTATTTCCCAATCTTTGATTACTTTAAATATCTTGATTTGGACCCCTAAAAATGTTGCCCACTTAAACCTAATCCTAAACCAACCTTAAAGAAACACTATTATCGCTGACTGAAAGGCGAATGCAGACGATAATGTTTTTGCTGGCAGCGTCTGTGACCTTTGTATAAAAGTTTGCTGAAAACTCTGGAGTCAGTTACTGAATTAATTAAAAAAAACTTTCTGGAAGTATTCATTAGATGTACATCTACAATGGATTTTTTTTTAGTGTACATTTAATTCTAAACACCCACTGCAGCTAATCAACATTAGGCAGATGTAAAAAATGGCTCTAATTCTGTCACTTTTATACAAATTGAGCTAAAACATGGTGTGGTAGTAGCAGAGAGTCCTTCACAATACATACTCTGAGAGTGACATCTCTTGTTATTGCATGAGACAATAGTTTTTTTTTTCCTCAATGTTTCACCAAAATAGTTACCGTCGCAACATATTTTAGATTAAAACTGGCTAAAAGAGAAATAATTTCCAGGAATGCTAGGACGTTCTTTTTTAATTTTTTCCCCCTAAACAGATCTGAACTACCTCTCACCTCAAGACAAGCCTCAGAAATGTAAACCTATGAAAGGCTTAAAAGCTCCCCAGCAGCAGAGCACCGAGGACCTGCAGATCAGAGGCTGCAGAACCGACGAGTCCAAACCGCCCTTGAAGCTAATCACAAGTGAGTCCAAACAGAACCGCCCCGAGCTACAAATTAAAGCTGCCTTCAGTGAAGCTCTGCGAGTAAACCCTGAGGCTGCAGGTTTGAAGTTTTCAGGTTCAGGTCTTTGCTTCAAGCTGGCAAACACAAAACAGAAAACTACAGTAAGGAGACGCTAAAGGTGTGGAGGTTTATTAATAACAACACGTTTAAACACGATCAACGTCCTCCATCTCCAAATTAATAACAACTGGCACAAGAAAGGTCAACAGGGAGACTTTTTAAGCGAGCCAAGGGGAAATGGAAGACTAGAAAAGAGAATGATGGGGCTGGCGGCACAAACAAGAACCAGTCCTGATAAATGTGTCCCCAGATTTATTTCAAGGGTTTTGTTTTTATAATTTAATAAAAGGTGAAAAGGTCGATTACAGAGAAACAGTGAAAGGTGTGTGTTGTATTTGGAAAGAGAGCTGGCGAAGGAAAGGGATCATTTTGTTCTTTAAAAGTAAAGTTAAATGAGCCACTGAACAATAAATATCTTACATGGTAACGATAACTCTTTGAACAACCTTGTTTTACCTTTGATGCCGACTTCAAACAATTCCAGTTTATGACATTTTATAATGAATGAAGCACAATTTATTTAAAAAACCTTAACTCTGAAGTATATTTTCAGTTACATGGTCAGTCAAACTAAATTTTATGCTACTAGAAGCTGCACAACCAGGAGAAATGCTATAAAATGAAGAAAACAGACAATTCAGAATAACAATACCTATAGTTAATAGAAAATATATACAAAAATATAAGTTAGTGATTCTGATTGTGTTTAGACCAGCAGAGAATGCTTTGCTGGCCCTGACGGTCCACCACTGGTTCATTCTCTTTCCACATAATCACTCTTCCTTATTCAATCCATCCATAAATCCATCCATTATCTTTACCCACTTACTCCATTTCGGGTCATGGGTGTCACTGGTTCCCGTGTCCAGCTATCACCGTGCGAGAGGCGGGGGACACCCTGGACAGGTCTCCAGTCCATCACAGTGACACATAGAGACAAACGAGACAAACAACCATTCACTCTCTCACTCACACCTAGGGACAATTTAGAGTCACCAATCAGACTAACATGCATGTTTTTGGGCTGTGGGAGGAAACCGGAGTATCTGGAGAAAACCCATGCATGCACAAAGAGAACATGCAAACTCCACCCAGAAAGGCCCCCAGCCGGGATTTGAACCAAGGACCTGCTCGCTGAGAGGCAGCAGCTCTGCCAACTGTGCTACCCTCCCTTTTCAATCCATTTCATTAAATCCTTTATTTCTGTTTCTGTGTTTACATTACATACTGAATATATTTTATGACCATCTTAAGTTTCAATGGTCAGTTGACATCACAACTACATGTAAAACAAAATGACATGCTCAGGAAATAATCAGGAAGCTTGGATTTCAGGTAAAGTTTAGTTGAGTTCATAAAAAAGTATTTTGTTTTATGCTGATAAAGTATAACAATAAGCAAAGACACTTGTTTTGGGTTTTTTACCAGTTTGTGTGTACATTATGTGTACAAATATTAACAGTCAACAGTTTTTGTGTATTTTATGTCAAACAGGTCTCACTTGTAAATGAGTCTTCGAGGCTCTATGTGATTTATTTGTATAAATAAAGGTTGAATTAATGTCTACAAATATCTAATTAACAGCTTGCGTGTACTTTATGTGTACAAAAATCTAAAGTCAACAATTTGTGTGTACTTACTGTGTACACATATATACAGTCAACAGCTTGTGCATACTTTATGTGTACAAAAACCTACAGTTAACAGTTTGTGTTTATTTTATGTGTATAAATATCTACAGTTAAAAGTTTGTGTGTATTTTATGTCTACACATATCTAATCAACAGCTTGTCTGTACTTACTGTGTACAAATATCTACAGTCAACAGCTTGTGCGTACTTTATGTGTAGAAAAATCTACAGATAAAATGTTGTGTTTATTTTATGTGTACAAATATCTAGTTAATAGCTCGTGTGTACTATATGTGTACAAAAATCTACAGTTAAAAGTTTGTGTGTACTTTATGTGTACAAAAATCTACAGTTAACAGCTTGTGCTTATTTTATGTGTACAAATATCTAGTTAACAGTGTGTGTGTACTTTATGTGTACAAACATATAGTTAAAAGTTTGTGTGTACTTTATGTGTACAAAAATCTACAGTTAACAGTTTGTGTGCATTTTATGTCTACAAATATCTAATTAACAACTTGTGTATACTTACTGTGTACAAATATCTACAGTCAACAGCTTGTGCGTACTTTATGTGTACAAAAATCCAAAGTTTACAGTTGTTGTGTATTTTATGTGTACAAATATCTAATTAACAGCTTGTGTGTACTTTAAGTGTACAAAAATTTACAGTTAACAATTTGTGTTTTTGTGTACAAATATCTAGTTAACAGCTCATGTGTACGATATGTGTACAAAAATCTACAGTTAAAAGTTTGTGTGTACTTTATGTGTACAAATATCTAGAGTCAACAGTTTGTGTGTACTTTATGTGTACAAATATCTACAGTCAACTGTTCGTGTGTACTTTATGTGATTGTGTCCTACCTTGGAATAGTAGCCAGGTACGCTACAAGTCTGCGGAGATCATCGGGTCGTATTCTATCATGATTGCTGCGTGCTGGAAAAGTGAGAATTGGACCACCACGTCTGTCTCTGCCACCTTCAGAAACAACATAAAAACACCAAACTATTGAGTAATGTAAGTTGTTGTTGAGTCTCAAATAACAAACTCTATATGATTTATGGAAACGTGTTTCAAACAGATATTTTATTGCTACTAAACTGCATCAGTTTGACTTAAAGCTGTGGTGTTGCAAGATAACTTTCAGTTTGCTTCAGCGTCATTATTAATATGTTAGCAGTTTGTCATGGACGTGCTGAGTCACACTAAGACATAAGGGTCAAATGAGTCTCACCATGACAAAGGAGCGTTTGAGTCCAAAACAAGTTAATAAACAACATATACTACAAACAAACATGAAAATAAATCAAAATAATGTGGTAATAAATACATTGGCAATGTCTTTCATCTATAGTTTTTAGTTATTTTAACTATTGTGGTGTACATGTATTTTGTTCTGTTGAAATATATAGGCCTACTCATCTCCCTTCAACTCACAGTAATTACATACTAACTGACATACTAACATAGTATTAACATAATGGTGTTAGCAGTTTTAGCAATGTCAGCAGTGCTAACAGTATTAGTAGTATTAGCAGGTCTAGCAGTATTAGCAGTGCTAGCCGTATTAGCAGTGTTAGCAGTATTACCAGAGTTAGCAGTGTATTTTGCTCAATAAATCAACTGATCAATTGAATGAAGTCAGCAAATTTATTACTCATAAATTGCTGATGGTAACTGTACACCTTCATTTTTTAGGCTACTTAATCTATGAAGCTAATGACAACTGGAAAATTAGTCAGTAAACTGAGTACTTTTGTCATTAATGCTGAAATGTCTAGTTTTGTGACGACAGCAGACTTCAAGCTAGATGACTCGATGGTTCTGACCCTTTTGCGCTTTGCTTACATGAGTTTTTTGGCTACACCAACTAGCAGCTGTTGAGTAAGATGGTGAAAAGATGAATCCGCACACATAGATGGTTCTGATCCAACACAGTACCAACACAACTGAACTGCAAAAATGAGCGGTACAAACAATGGATGCTGATGACAACGCATGTATTAAAAGTAACACTGTCAGGAAAGAAAACACTATTAGAAAACTCTAATAGTATAGAAAAATACATTTTCATGAATAATTTTATCATTTCTCACACAAACTGAATTAATTTATGCAATTACTAGAAGCATTCTTTTAGCGTTTATCGCTAAAATGTAAGTTGGTCCACATAAACTAGAAATACATTCACATGAATTGTTTTTGTGCATTTATATAACTTTATGGACTGTCTATATTTTCATCACCTTACAAACAAAATAAAAAAATTGAGAAAATCCAATTACTTCCACTGGCACTACAAGGATGAAATCCTTGCTTTAAGAATTGGATGACAGGTAAATTTGAAACAGTTGGATGTGATGTGGTTGTTAACGTCTTAACTTCTCTTAAATTACAAGATTATTACCGGTAGGTTTGGTAAGTAAGTTGTCATTAACAAAAACATGATGTTTAATGTAAATATAAGCGACCTGAGAGAAAGGCAACCTTCTCCTTCAGGATGGGAAGAACATCGATAGCCTTCATGTCCTCATTGCGATGAAACCCTAAAATTAAATAAAAAATAAAAAAGGTTAGTCATGACAAGACATTTTATATTTCTTTACCTCTCATCATTTAATATTTTTTCCATTGTACTAACTACTATGCAGTCTGAAGAGAGATCACCCTAAACAGACACTGTCTCATCTAAGTCCAGCTTCTGTTTTTATTTTTTGTTTGGTCATAAAATTAGTGCATTTATCCATTTTTATTACTCGCTGTTTTCTTTTCAGGTCGCAGGGGAGTTAGTGTCTATCTCCAGCAGTGTAGGAGGTGGGGGACATCTTGGACAAGTGCAGCACAGAGACAACACAGAGACAAACAAGACAAACTCTCTCACTCACACCGAGTTTGTGATTGCCAATTTTGAGTTGCCAGTTATCCTGACATGCATGGTTTTGGTCTGTTCTAGGATCCAGGGAAAAAAAACGATGTGTCCATGTGAATGCACAAACGCAACCCAGAAAGACGGGGAGGTAAACCTGCAACCTTTTTACTGTGTCAAAGCACTGGGCCACTATGCAGTGATGTACACAGTTTTATAAACAAACAATGTAAACTAAGTGTGCCTTACTGCACTACTGAGTGTTGCAATGGTGGCCTTGATTGATTGCCCATAAAACAATCTTCAGGCACCCCAATCCATTGAAGAAACTATACTTTGAAGCAATATAAAAATTAGAAAACATAATTTCCTCAAATAAACAGGGTGGTCGGGTTGCATATATCTATGGTGGTGGTGGCCATCTTGGATTTTGACTTAGCAACCCAATTGTCAGTGGTGAACTTTCTTACACCTAGATGCAGCCAAAAAACAAAATGGACGTCAATACAAATAGTTTTTCAAATTATCCAGCTCACAACATACACGGACAGATGGAAGGAGGATATTTCCAGTTCCCCCTCTTCGCTTTGTGACGGGGGAAAACAAACTACATTTAGTTTGTGAAAAGAAATTTGGTGGACATCCCACACATGACAAAAGGTGCTATAATCAGATGAGATGACCAGCATGTCACCTGGTGTGGATTTAATACCTGTTGTCAACACAAGATCACCATAACCCCAGACAGGCAGAGTGTATTGTAAGTTTTATTTTTAACAAGTCAGTGGTATGACTTGAGGAATACTACACACCCAGTTCTGCCTTGGATAATGAACTAAAATAGAGTAGAAGACAAATCTAACAGGACAGACAGCAGAGCCTGGATAAAGGAAAGACTAAAACTGTAGATCTGGTTCCTCTTGTACTGACCGATGCCACAGTCTGAAGAAACGAAAAGCAACAGTCAAACCAAAGCACCATCACGTGATCTCTTTGTGGGAAGGATTGGACTGACCAGACTGTAAGAATAATGCCAAAACCAGATGGAGTGGTTATAGTTTTGTTTTCCTTCCAAGCAAGAAGTATATAGGTAGTTGGGTTTATATGCTTTTCCTCTGATACTTTACAGTCCCTAAAATGTGTTGCATCTATCTCATCCATTTTTTAGATGAAAACTTAAGTTGTGAATAGATTAAACACATGCACAGCCAAGCAAAAACAGAAGTACTCATCTCTTGTAATTTAAGGTGTTAGCTTTTGTATGTTTCCAGGTTTATGGAAGGTACTGGCTCTGTCAAACGCCAGGCTCTGTATCTTTTGGAAACTAGTCCGTCAGAAAACTAACAAACGCATAAATGTGAAAAGCTGCAACCAGACGTAGCTGTCACAAAATTTATGTTTTAAAAATGAAGTAAAAGTTTGTTGCTTTTAATGTGTGATGACCTAAAACACATGTCCGAATAACATACAAGCATATCGCCTCTCCAGATTTTAATCATGTTTATATTTAATAAACTGCACAAAAAAGTTTTAAACTATAAAGGGTGATTCATGAAACCTCATTATTACACACAACAGAGTCTTCTGTTCACTACACAAACATGCTGTCAGTTACAAGTCAGCTGATCATGAAATAAAGCTTTGTGACCACAGACAGTTCATAACACACTGATAATGACAGACTGATTTTACTGTCATCCTCTTTACAAAAGATTTGAAATGTATCATGTTTGTGCAGAAAATACATCTCATCATGATCTTGTTTCACATAGTTTTACTAATGAATGTAGAAGAAGACAGAACATATAATGATACTGTCCTTAATTCTGGGTAGTTTCAAGAAATATGCGTTTTAGGATAAGAGGGTCAACTGAACACACTGAATGTCAGTTCTTGTTATTACAAAAAGCAATGAAAATGGGAACCTATTTAATTGCAAACTCAACAAGTAATACTCCAATGTCCTCGTCACTGAGGGTTTGAATAGTGAATGTTTGTAGTTACATACGATACACACAGTGTTTCCCCTTCAATTATTCAAGGAGGGTGCCCCTCCCTGTCAACAGAACCGAGCGCCCCGCCTACCAAATCTAATACCCTCCACGCAGCTCCACTACTTCCGGACAGGAAGCAGAGAATAGCAGATCAGCTCAGACTCCAAATCATGACAACCACGGAAAGCACTCCACTACCCCCACTCCCCACCCCTGTCGACAACTACCGGCACTAACGTAAGGCTACGCTAACCAACCAAAATATATATGAGTGGAAGTGGCCATCTTGAGTTTTGATGTGGCAACCCAATTTTTGATAATGACCTTTCTTATGCCTAGATATAGCTAAATTAGAAGTAGGTGCCTCACTTAATTTTCAAGTTATTGTGTACACAACATGCACTGACGGATTGAGGGACAGGCCATGGATTTATCCAATTCCTCTTCTTTGCTTCGCGATGGGAGACAAAACAAATTTGTGTTGTCAGGACTGGTTAACTTGCAGCTTCCTCATCTCAGTTCAATTCAGATGTACATTAGCTATTCTTCCTGGTAGAACCACCGAATGCAGAGGAGACACCAAATTATAGCTTCCACTTCATTTGAAAACAATGAATGGCGGTGGAGTGAAAATCTCCATCTGTCTTTGGTGAGCTCTAATCCAGAGTTGTGAAAATCTTCCCTGTGCAGCTCCAGAAAGTGAGTACATTGTGTTTTCACTCGTTTTGTTACACATAATCAAGAAGAACGAGCAGCGAGAGTTAGTGGCACACATTCACTGTACTTGAAGCTTCTTCTTTTTTTACGTTTCCACATGGATTGGGCCCTAAATCCATCATTTCACAAAGCTGTACGGCAGAAGAATGCATCTTGCTTTCCCTTTGCCCTCTTGACTTCAGGCTTGAAACACCAAGATCCACAAACATGTCTTCAGTAAGATCGAAAGTACACCTCAGAATGTACACCATGCATCATTTTAACGTTTAACATTGGTTGTTGCAAACGTGTTTCCACCAAGCACTTAAATTTAGTTAAAAAAGTAAAGTAAAGTAAACTATTATACAGCAATCTATAGCACTTGAAATAGTTGTGGACCAGCTTCTACAGATCGAAGAAGCATGGTGGTGCCATGGGATCTACAGTGTCTCTGATTGTGTCCAATCTCTACATGAAGGAAATGGAACAGAGAACCCTGGACTCCTTCAAGGGAACAAGATAGAGCCACTGGTTCACATATGTGGATAACACTTTGGTCAAAATCCATGTGAAAAAAGTAGAAGTGTTCAGCAGACATCAACTTTGTGGACAACAACATCAAGTTTAACAGAGAGGACGCCAGCAATAACAAAATGCTTTTTCTGGACTGTTTGGTGATGGAAAGAGATGGAAGCCTCAACACTGAAGTTTACAGGAAACCTCCTCACACAGATCAGAACCAGTTTGACTCTGACCACCCACTGGAACACAAACCAGAACTTTAGAACTTTACACCACCGAGCCAGACAGAAGGAATAGAACCACATCAAAGAAGCTCTCCAAACCTGTGGATATCCTAAGTGGACCTTTGTCAAATCAGCAAACAAATCCAAAAAACACACTACAGAACAGAACAGAGAAGAGCAAACACAAACACATTGTCATCTCAGATGTTGCTGGAGGATCTGAAAAACTCTGAAGGATTTTCTCCAAACACAATATCCTGGTACATTTTAAACCAAACAGGATGGTCAGACAGAGGCTGGTCCATCCCAAGGACAGAACCCCCAAACTGAGCTGTGTGGTGTCTGCAGGTCAGTGCAGTGAGGAATGTTCAGACCTCTATAATGGAGAAACTAACCAACCTCTCCACGGATTCATTCGTTCAACCTTTATTTAGACAGGTAAATCCCACTGAGCCTCGAGGACTCATTTACAAGAGAGACCTGATTTCAACAAAGAATGATGACAACAATGTACAAATAATGCATGGCTGCATGGATGCATGGCTCAACACCAGAGAGTACTTCAGGACCAGACTCAGCGGTCCACCTACAGCTCAAGGATAAGGGACACCCTGCTGAGGACCAATAGGTCCAGATGTTGGAATGCGAAGACAGATGGTTTGAGAGGGGGCTGAAGGAAGCCATTTACATCAAAAGAGAGAAAAAAAACTTTAAACAGATGAGAAGGTTTTAAATTTCAACTTTCTAAAACTTATGATGCATCATTAGGCCTGATTTCAGGTCAGCTCCACTCCAACTCAGTGCTCACACCTTCATGCAGGTGACCCAAACATCTCGCTGTGAGCCAAGACAAAGAACCAGACGAGCCTCCATTGTGAGAATGAGTAGCTCCAGTCTAACATGAAGCTGAATCTCTACTACCAGGCCACTCATACAGTGCTATAAAGCTGTGAACTCCACACTCCAGACATTTTAGAACTGATAAAGTCTCCCAGATGGTCTGAGAAATGTCTTCATCTTCAGAACAGAAGTCCACAGTTGTTTTAGTTGTTTAACCGTTTTTTGGATTCATCAGGGCTTGGATGACTGAGAATCTTCACCAGCATTTGTCTTTGTGGTATGTGCGGTGGGAGTTCCACAAAGCAGGCTCACAACCAGGCTGATCCGACAATGGTGTGTCAGCTGATGCTTATACAGTCACCTGGGAGCTCATATGGTCCATTTATCGTTCAGCCACAGCCAGTG